TGAATAGTTTCTTGTAAAATGTCTCTCAAAGTTCGACTGATTTACGAGGCTTAAGTTGCTTCTCGTTTACCAGCTTCTTGTTTGAATTTTCCCATTCCACCTTAAATGGTGCCTGAGGTGCCAGAACGTAAAGGCGGCACTATTTAAGGTGGAACGAGAAAATTCGAACAAGAAGCTGGAGAAGAAGCGACTTCATCTTCGCCACTTTTTAATGTTTGACAGTCTCTCATTGCAGATTTAACGTACCAGGAAACCAACTGCGCTGCTTATAAATGTGACTAGTCTCCAAATGTTCGTCTGTCTTTCTCTTTTACTTTTTCGTTCGCTACTCGCTCAGCGAGACTTCATTGCTATGTTCTCAGTCATTGAGAACCAGGTCTTTCGCTCTATGTTGCATACTTTGGAGCCGAGAACTGCGCATTTTATCACAGATGAGTGGCGGCAGCGTCTCATTCACTCCAAACAACAGCGGTGAATGAGAATCTTCAAGTTCACTTGCCACATCACTTCCATTTGATTTATTAATAAAAGATATTGGACGTAAGTGCATTATGGGTCACTACAAATACTTTGCTTTAAAACTACCAAGTCCTCACACAGTAGGAAAATAGAAATCCTGTATAAAAAAAAAAAAGATGCATCGATAATCGTTTTAGAATCGCATCACAGCCTCTGAATCGTAATTGAATCGAATCGTAAGGTGTCTGGAGATTCCCACCCCTAGCTTCTATATAGAACCATGAAGACGCAAGGAACCCTTTACATGATTAAAGCGTTCTTTGCATCATGAAATAGCTCTTCAGATTGATGGAGAATGTGCTGTATGGTTCTATATAGCACCAAAAGGGTTCTTCTATTGTTACAAGCTTGACATCGTAACAATAGCAGAACCCTTCTTGGTGCTATATAGAACCAAATACAAGACATTTTCAGCCAATCTGAAGAGCTATTAAACTGTGCAAAGTATGTCATGATGGAGAATGTGCTGTATATGGTTCTATATACACACTTAAAGATCACCCTTTACATGATTCAAGGGTTTTGTGCATTGTGAAAGGGTTCTTCAGATTGCTGGAGAATGTGCTGTATATGGTTCTACATAGACATTTTTGAAAAAGATTCAACAGTAGAACCCTTTTTGGTGCTGTGTAGAACCATTTTTAAAAAGGTTCTGTAGAACACATTCTGTGTGCAACACATTCTTCATCAATCTGAAGAACTTTTCATGATGTAAAGAACCCTTTAATCATGCAAAGGGTTCTTTCAGTGTCCATGGTTCTACATATATAACCATTGCCTTTGCTAAAGAACCCTTGAAGAACCAAGTTTTTAAGAGGGTAGCACCAAAAAGGGTTCTTTTATTGTTACAAGCTTGACATCATAACAATAGAAGAACCCTTTTTGGGGCTATTAAGAACCCTTTTCAAAAAGGTTCTATGTACAACCATATGCAACACACTCTCCATCAATCTGAAGAACCATTTTGTCATGCAAAGTGTTCTTGGAGTGTTCATGGTTCTATATAGAACCATTTTCTTTATGACAACCACACATAACAGCAGTTCAGCAGTCCACATAGAAAGCCCTCTGGTGGTCATTCACTTGTCCTGCAGCCCAGTGTGCAGACATGGACACAACAAATAATTTCATCGGTGGTCACAGGCCGCTGCCCACAGGACGCTGTTGGCTGGATACTTTTGGTTGGTGGACTATTCTCAGTCCAGCAGTGACACTGAGGTGTTTAAAAACTCCAGCAGCACTGCTGTGTCTGATCCACTCGTACCAGTAAGTGGGTCAGTAAGTGGAGCTAATAAAATATATATATATATATATATATATATATAATATATATATATATATATATATATATATATATATATATATATATATATATATACACACACACACACATTATACATATTATTATATACTTATTATATGCTTATTATTATTATTATTGTTATTATTATTATTATAGTCGTCCTGTGACCACTGATGAAGGACTAGAGGATGACCATTACAAACTGTGCAGCAGCAGATGAGCTATCGTCTCTGACTTTACATCTCCAAGGTGGACTGACAAGGTAGGAGTGTCTAATAGAGTGGACAGTGAGTGGACACAGTGTTTAAAAACTGCAGCAGCACTGCTGTCTGATCCACTCAGACCAGCACAACACATACCAACACACCACCACCACGTCAGTGTTACTGCAGTGCTGAGAATGACCCACCACCCAAATAGTACCTGCTCTGTGAGGGTCCATGGGGGTCCTGACCACTGAAGAACAGGGTAAAAGGGGGCTAACAAAGTATGCAGAGAAACAGATGGACTACAGTCTGTAACTGTAGAACTACAAAGTGCACCTATATAGTAAGTGGAGCTGATAAAATGGACAGTGAGTGTAGAAACAAGTAGGTGGTCATAGTGTTATGCCTGATCAGTGTACAGTAATGAATTGTAGCACCTTCTATGTGAAAATCAGTTTGACTCATCCCCAACTTGTGTTACGACCCCTTTTCACTAGGTTTAAAAGCTCCCAAGCTCTAGTTAAGGGATTTGAGGTAGCAACACAAAACAAACAGACCAGAACAACAGATACTCAAGTAGCTTGTATTTTTAGGCATTGCGGGTAAAAGTCACAAGAATTTGGCTTCAGAGTGAGCTGTAAAAAATAAACAAAACTTCCAAAAAGCACCATGAAATACCTTCACTAGCTCAAAATAAAAACATAAGATACAGATTGTACCAGTCTTCCTCTCTCAGCAAGTAAACAGGAAAAAAACATAAAAAATAAATAAACATCACGCAGCCCTACATGATTGTGACTCATAGTTAAAGCTATTTGTCAAAAATCTATCATTGTGCAAGTTTCAGTTAGAGTCCAACCACTAACAAAACATCAGGTCTGTTTAATACTTAAAGCTGCTCCTTAATTCCAAAATATCAGACCACAAGGTAAACAACTATCATAAATAAACACAAAAGACCAGCAGAGGGCAGCACCAGACCACAAATGCAGCCATATAATATAGCTATGACAACGTACACATGATATGGTTCATGAATGTTTTGGACGCCATGATAGCCAGTTTATCTATGGACCTGTTTCATAGAGAACTCTTATTGTATTTGCTATGTAGATGGGCATTTATCCCACACCATTCCTTCAGGAATGGTAACATGAATGGCGTATAAAGGCTGTGCGAAGTAGATTATAGGTCTGTTCACCCGCTAGTGTTCCAAGAGTACAGCACTGAATATACACTGATATCTATGTGAATCACAGCACATGTAGGATAGCACCACTGAGGACAGCATGTCGTGTCCATGCTATACCAGTAAACACACTCCTTAGATCAGGAATCGTCTGGATCAAAGACTCTGGAACGTGATATCTGTTAAACTTTAAGACAGGAGAAACATGGAATTCATCTTAGCTGCTTATAACATTTCAGTCTCTTGCGTCTTGGTTACAGCAGGAATATTCTCCAAGCGCAGGACATCCTGAAGTCCGTCACTCCAGCAGCGTTTATTTTTAGTCTTGATCATGTAGAACGGGCTCTGATGGACCTTGACTGTGTGTTGTTCCATTCACCTCAGCAGCTCTTCACACACTGCCTTGGATGTTTCCTGAAAACACACAAAGAAACAGCAGCAGTATCTGATGGCAGAGATGGATGAATTAATAACCCTGAATGTTGTCTTTACATACTGTAAAAGGCTCCATCTGTCCCTGTCTAGGTCGGGTCCTGGAACACCAAGAGGAGTGAGGAACGCTAGTCGTATGAGGGGGAAGGGAAATCTTCACTTTGAGGTCGACCCCCGTGACCTAACCGTCACAGTTCTTCTCAAAGCGCTCCCCTCAGTGTTACCCCTGTCCCTGTTTTACAGTGTGCAGTGGCAGAAATAAACCAATTCCATTTGCATTCTTATTCAAACATGTTCTTCCTTTGTTATTCTGCAGGAAACGTCTAGGTACTTCTTCACTTTCTGGATGCATAAATCCATTTTAATCCCTGGTTTACTAAACCTGACTGTCCTTTCAGCTCTTGAGTTGAAAATCTTAATGCTGCCTAGTTTGTTCTTCATCTCAGTTTATGTTTGACACGTATTGTTACGTAACACCTTCAAGACCAAACTCATAGCTCAGTGTCAAAAGTATTAACAGAGACAATTAAACAGATTCTAAGGTAAGGTAACTTTATCTGGGTACCGGTATTTGCTAAGGATCATTTTAATATGATGTCTAATAAATAGTGAAAAACACTAGAATAGTGCATTTCCTGAAGAAAATGCAGAGTGATTGTGCAGCTTCTTGCGAGGCGGTGGTTAAGGTGTTACTAGGCGGTTGCTTAGGGGGTTGGTTGTTAAGGTGTTGCCAAGAAGATGCCATGGTGTACATAGTGTTTTCTTATTTCTTTTGCCAAGTAGTTGCAAGGTGTTGTGTGAACTGAAGGTCTATAGGAAAAACAAAAGATGAAAAAACGACACAGAGGAGTGCGGTCAGTATGACTGTGGATTAGAGTGGGGACCAGGCCTATATGATTACATGTACACTATATTGCCAAAAGTATTCACTCACCAAATAATGTCAAAATAATCCAAATCATTGAATTCAGGTGTTCCAATCACTTCCATGGCCACAGGTGTATAAAACCAAGCACCCAGGCCTGCAGACTGCTTCTACAAACATTAGTGAAAGAATGGGGCTCTCAGGAGCTCAGTGAATTCCAGCATGGTACTGTGCGCACCAGTGCACAAAGCAAGGTCCATAAAGACATGGATGAGCGAGTTTGGTGTGGAAGAACTTGACTGGCCTGCACAGAGTCCTGACCTCAACCCGACCGAACACCTTTGGAATGAATTATAGCGGAGACTGCGAGCCAGAACTTCTCGTCCAACATCAGTGTCTGACCTCACAAATGCGCTTCTGGAAGAATGGTCAAAAATTCCCATAAACACTCCTAAACCTTGTGGAAAGCCTTCCCAGAAGAGTTGAAGCTGTTATAGCTGCAAAGGGTGGGCCGACATCATATTAAACCCTATGGATTAAGAATGGGATGTCACTCAAGTTCATATGCGTGTGAAGACAGACGAGCCAATACTTTTGGCAATATAGTGTAGTTTGGTGGCTGCCGAGCAAAGTAACAACTGGGCTTGGATAGAAGCAACAATGAATGGGAGTTAATGGGAGGAAAGAAGGATGAAAAAATGGCACATAGAGGAGTGCAGGTCAGTATGGCTGTGGATTAGAGGTTAAAGACCTGCCCTCAATGATTACATGGAGTTTGGTGGCTGTCAGGCCAGGGAAATAATTGGGCTTGTGAGGGGGCAAAAATGAACGGAAGTCTATGGGAGGAGCGTGGGATGAAAAATATTGACAAACGGATGAGTGCAGGTCAGAACACCGAAATCATGCTCTGTGTCCTCCCAGGACATAATATATGTGAGTCGAGCAGAGGTACAGTGGATAGGCGTCCCACTTCTGCACCCCATGGTAAAAAATACGTAATTTAACGAAGATTGTATCAAAAGCTGTATATAATCACTAAGAATATCTTAAGAAGAAAAAGAAGAAGAATAATAAGGAAAAGGTTATACATTGAATAACAATGGTGTTCTGCAATGCACCATCACTAATTAAGATTAGCTGGCTAACTAGTTACTGTTTCTTGGCTGCTGAAGCTTGATAAAGTTTAAACAGCAGCATAAGCCTTTGCATTAAAAATGAGTATAAAAATAAATATTAATGTACTTGTGCAAAGGCCATGCTTTGTGTAGTTTCATTCAACTCTGACCTCCTATAAATGACCATGAGTCCTCCTCAGCATCTAACACTGGTGCTTTATGTAACGTAAACATGGTTTCCTGAATCCAGATTTATTCGCTTTAAATTGATCTACATTCGTAATTTGTCAACAGTCAAACAAATTTGTCTGCACTAAACAGTCTGAAAGTGTTTTATTTTGGAATGAAAAATGCTTCAGATGTTCTCCTCCTGTGTGCTTCTATATTTTTCTTTGTGATGCTGAACTTCTTAGTCTGTTAGTAAAAGTGTTATGGACACTACCAGGTAGTCTGATGGGCACAGCAGCAATAACTAGGTAGGTCTTTAAAATAGGTCAGTTGCAGCTTATCAGAAGGGATCTTCAAAAATCTTGAGACAATATCAAATACAATTATTATACATCCTGAAAATGGTATTCTAGTGGCAAGAGGGGTGATCCAGCACCAGAAGGCCATGGGCTAAAAGCCCAGGAGTGACTTGAAGTGACAAAGCCCTGGTTGTGTCCGTGAGCAAGGCACTCAGCCCTCCCCTGCCCAAGGCACTGCTCTGCACAGCAGGCAACACTATACTGCCACCAGTCCAGGCAGCGACATGATCACTTTCCCTTTTAAGTAGATCAATGAAATACAAAAACTTATTTAAAATGTACCACAAAGTGCTGAAACGTTTTAAATAACGGTCTTCATAACTTGTTCACATGATGAAAACAGGTGGCTAAGTGGTGGGAGACACCTCACTGATGCCATTTCCTGCTACATTAATGTCCCCATAACCTGGAAAACAGTAGAAGAGGAGAAGATTAAAAAACACAGCAATAAGAAAACAAACCATTAACTCCTGCACTGTGTTTCCAAATGTGGCTGAGGATTTGAATTTTAGTTATACAACATATTTCATTCACAATAGAACATAGAACACATATCAGATGTTGAAAGTGAGACATTTTACCATTTCATAAAACATTAACTCATTTAGAACTTGATGGCAACAACACATCTCAAAAAAGCTGGGACAAGAGCAACAAAAGGCTGGAAAAGTAAGTGGTACTAATAAAAAATGTCTAGAGGAGAAATTTGCAACTAACTCACATGACTGGGTATAAAAAGGGCATTTTAGAGAGGCAGAGTCTCTCAGAAGTAAAGACGTTCAGAGGTTCACCAATCTGTGAAAAACTGTCTCTAAAAATTGTGGAACAATTTCAGAAAAATATTCAACGTAATATTTCGAAGACTTTGAATTTCCCATCATCTACAGTACATAATATCAACAGATTCAGAGAATCTGGAGAAATCCCTGTATACAAGGGACAAGGCCGACGGTCAGTATTGGATGCTCGTGGTCTTCGGGCCCTCAGGTGGCATTAAAGGCAGGCATGATTCTGTACTGGAAATCACTGCATGGGCTCAGGAACACAGAAATCAATGTCTGAACACAGTTCGCCGTGCAATCCACAAATATAAGTTAAAGCTGTATCATTTAAAGAAGAAACCATACATAAACAGGGTCCAGAAACCCCACCGTCTTCTCTGGGCCAAAACTCATTTAAAATGGACTGAGACAAAATGGAAAACTGTTCTGTGGTCAGATGAATTAAAATTTGTAATTGTTTTTGGAAACCACAGACACCATGTCCTGCAGACTCAAGAGGAGAGGGATCATCCAGCTTGTTATGAGCGCACAGTTAAAAGCCTGCATCTCTGATGGTCTGGGGCTGCATTAGTGCCTATGGTGTGGGCAGCTTACACATCTGGAATGGCACCATTAATGCTGAACAGTATATAGAGGTTTTAGAACAACATATGCTGCCATCCAGGGAAGGCCTTGCATATTTCAGCACAATAATGCTAAACCACATACTGCATCCATCACAACAGCATGGCTTCGCAGAAGAAAAGTCTGGGTGCTGAACTGGCCTGCCTGCAGTCCAGATCTTTCACCAATAGAAAACATTTGGCACATCATGAAACAAAAAATGCGGCAAAGAAGACCCACGACTTTTAGAATCCTACATCGGACAGAAATGGGACGACATTCCTCTCCTGCAGCTAAAAGAAGAGGGGATGCTACACAGTGGTAGATGGACGCTACACGCGGCCCTGTCCCAACTTTTTTTAAGATGTGTTGCTGCCATCAAGTTCTAAATGAGTTAGTGTTTTTCACGAAATGGTAAAATGTCTCATTTTCAACATCTGATCTGTGTTCTATGTTCTACTGTGAATTAAATATGGGTTTATGAGATTCACAAATTATTGGATTCTGTTTCTATTTACATTTATTTACATTTTACACAGCATCCTAACTTTTTGGAAATGGGGCTGTATAATAGTAGTAGTAATAATAATAATAATAATAAAATATACACACACAAAATACACCGATCAGCCATAACATTATGACCACCTACTTGTTTCTACGCTCAGTCCATTTTATTAGCTCCACTTACTGACCCACTTACTGGTACGAGTGGATCAGACACAGCAGTGCTGCTGGAGTTTGTAAACACCTCAGTGTCACTGCTGGACTGAGAATAGTCCACCAACCAAAAATATCCAGCCAACAGCTTCCTGTGGGCAGCGTCCTGTGACCACTGATGAAGGACTAGAGGATGACCAACACAAACGGTGCAGCAGCAGATGAGCTATCGTCTCTGACTTTACATCTACAAGGTGGACTGACAAGATAGGAGTGTCTAATAGAGTGGACAGTGAGTGGACAATGTGTTTAAAAACTGCAGCAGCACTACTGTGTCTGATCCACTCAGACCAGCACAACACACACTAACACACCACCACCACGTCAGTGTTACTGCAGTGCTGAGAATGATCCACCACCCAAATAGTACCAGCTCTGTGAGGGTCCATGGGGGTCCTGACCACTGAAGAACAGGGTAAAAGGGGGCTAACAAAGTATGCAGAGAAACAGATGGACTACAGTCTGTAACTGTAGAACTACAAAGGGCACCTATATAGTAAGTGGAGCTGATAACGAACGTAGAAACAAGGAGGTGGTCATAATGTTATGCCTGATCAGTGTATGTATGTATGTATATATATATATATATATATATATATATATATATATATATACACACACACACACACACACTTAACTATTCCAAGGTAGAAGATGCAACATACCTTCACTGGCACTTTCATACTGACTCCATTTCCTGGAAAACGGCAGACGTGGCCGAGATTAATAAACACGTTGTAAGCTATACTGTACATTACACTGTTTTTTGGAATGTTGGTATGAATATTTGTGGTTCAGTGAAAAGGAATGCATTAACACAATTAACGGAAAGATATACTGAAACACTCAACACAATTCCAGGTATATGTGGTGTAGCAGTAATTTGGTCAAAGACAGGGCTCAGTATGCTTTCAGTCAGATGAGGTAATGTAATGATGTAATGTAGCGCTACTCACAGATTACTCCATTCCTTTTGCAGAAACAGATCACCAGGGTGACCAAGAGGACCACAGCTATCACTGAAAACACTACTATGAGTGTTGAACTCAGAGAGCTGTCATTTGTACAGTCGTTGTATTTCCCATCTTCAATCAAAGAGAAAAAAAGAATCCCAGTGAAAATGTTAAACTCAGTTAGTCAAGTCAAAGTTTATTTATGTAGCGCTTTTTACAACACGTGTTGTCACAAAGCAGCTTTACAGAAAAATCTGGTCCGAGCCCCCATGAGTGGCAAGGAAAAACTCCCTAAGAGCAAGAGGAAGAAACACTGAGAGGAACCAAGACTTAAAAGGGGGAACCCATCCTCCTCTGGTCCACACCGGATAGCAAACAGTGTTAGTATAAAATATTAGAATACAAAACGGGGAAAACGTGGAGCAATAGTTAATTAAATAGTTTGAGTTTATGCAGCAGCAGAAGCAGCAGCAGCAGCAGCAGGAGGGTCAGATCATGCAGGTGAGGTTTGCACAGCGTTGTACAGCGTGAAGCTCCATGGTGGTCAAAACGGTGCAGATCAGCCAACAGAGATGGAGCTCTAGAGACTCTAGCAGCTCTGGTGGCTCCCATGTTGACTGTGTTAGCTGTGAATACATGCTGGTACTATTAACTTAGTTACAGTGTACTTGATATTAATGTTCTGAGTGTCTGTCAAATACAGTAAACTAAAATTAACATAAAAAAAACACAGATATACTCACCCCACTGTTTAATTACTGGTGTGTTGATGGAGCTGTGAGTCACATAACAGTCGTAATCTGCTGGTTCATCCTCCTGGATCTCCACACTCTTCCTCAGCTGGTAGGTTCCATCTTCATTGGGTCTGACTCCTGAAGATGTTAGTAGATGTTCAGGCAGTGAAGTGGTGAACTTCCTCAGTTCAATCTTCATGTCTTTGAGGTAGAAGCCCGTGGCCAGGCAGGTCAGGGTCAGATTGATTAAGCCAGTAACAGATTTCTTCGCAAACACAAATACATTCCCTGGGAAGAAAGAAAGCACAACTTAACATTCAATCAGTATTCAGATCCCTGTAATTAATTAATTAATTAATTAATTAATAAAACTACAGTGCCAAATGGGCAGCCTATGTCTTTGTGAAATTCTTATAGTTTTACAGATTTTGTAATGTTATTATGGCAGCTACTATTGACTTTGTTAATAATCAAGTATGACTGTAAAAACCAGTAATAATACTTATTAATAGTTGATTTTATGGTTAATCACACAACACTCTTGGATGAACAGGGAACTTTCACTGCCCTCTCTGTGTACATGCTAACTGTGGCTCTGAAGGTTAACCTGAAGTTTTGGGGTGTGTTGATTCTTCCTTTCGTTTGGGCATAAATTTTATCTCTGTTGCTTCAACTGAAGACCAGCCAGCTGATAATGTGATGGTTGGCTGTTTATGTTCATGTGACTGAAGGTTAGCACTCCCTTAAGATACCAGATGAGAGAGGCTCAGTGTTTTGACCATAAACGTACTTCCGCTTTCGTTTATTATTATGTATATATATTAACACTTGTTTATTTATGTCACAATTAGGAATAACAAATGCATTATAAATTCTTTGTGCTCTGTTGACCAATGAAATGAACCAACACCCTTTCTGGGGGCTATTTAATCTCCTGTAATCTTGGTTTCAGGTGGAGATCTCTAGGTTTTTACCAGGAGCTTCTTCCTGGCCGTGATTCTTAAATAAGTATTATTACTTTGGAGATTCAGTCGTGATTTCACTGTTTTGAATTGATTTCTTGTGTTTAAATAGAAACTGCAACCACAGAGGTTTTTGTAAAAGTCAATAAAATGAACTTAACTGAACTATAACAAATCATGCATAGACTGAGTAAACAAGGCAAATCATGGCAGCCCTTAATGTCTACCTTCACCTACCAACAACAACAACAACAACAACATCATCAACAATAATAATGATAACGCAGCCAGATTTTGGCAAGCAGGGTACACTGATACCACTTTTTCCCTTCCGATATTGATACCAACACAGAAGTATCGGCTAATACAGAATACAGATACCGATACTAACACTTTCTAGCCTAACCAGCTTATAAGTCCTGATATTTATACAATTCCACTTTTTCAATATTTTGTTTGGTGAAAGCAGTGTTCTGTATCACAAATAGGTCAGACCCAAGACCACGCCACCGTCTAAAGCAGCTGACCGAACAAGGTGCACCGCAGGCGGAGCTAGTGGACACACTAGGCCAGCTAGCGGGCTGCTATGGTAAAGTCTAGACCAAGGCTAAAAGCTATCATTAACCTAAGTGACCAACGGTTCCTTCCATGTCTGTCTAATGTTCACTCCCTCAATAACAACCAGCACTAACATTAACTCAGACTGTAACGGACTCCACAGTGGGAGAGTGATTACTGAAAGGAGCCTGGCTCAGTCGTTTAGATAGTGCAGAAATTCCTTCATGGTATCATTATCCCCATCACGGACACCAATATTGCATTTAAGAACCGGTGCTGGTGCCAGGACCGGTACGGTGCTGGTATCAGTGCATGCTTAATAGTAAGTATACAAACCCTCACCTGGTTTGGTCTGAGTATTATTTTTGTAGTGGAGATAAATCTTCAACCACTCCTCACACTTCTGAAGAGCAGTGATGTGACCGTGTCCAGTGTTCCACCTCTCCTCCATCACTCTGCCCTCTTCAGCTGAAGCCAGCCATTTCTTCAAGGTCCAGTTAAAATGGATGAAGTCTTGTCCATCATAGGCATATTCATCAGTGTAATTTACACCCATCACTGAGCCATCAAACCGCTTTACACCCTCACACCCATGTCTCCACTGAAGAGTATGACCACCTGAAACAGAGATGAAGAACAGAATCATCATCACTTACAAAGCACAGCACGTTCAGCCGCCCTCCTCAGTGTGAACAGGTGTTTCTCTAAACTCTCCCAGATCTCCACGAAAGAGCTTCACTGGTAGACTCAGCTTCCCTTCCTCTCAGAAGACTTTCAGTTTTTCAGAGAAATCTACAGAGATGTTTATTTCACACCTCCAAAGTTCAGGCTTAGAAGCTGTTTTTACATTTTCTGCCAATCCTAAGTTACAAATTTAGACTCATGAGTCCATAAACCACCACTCCACACGCCACGTCTCAGACGTGCAGTGTTTGTGTTCTACTGCAGATGTTCTTTTTTATCTATTTTCTCAAGTACTGTTTGAGTGAGTTGCTGAGTCGTCTTCTCACAGTGGAAGGATGGACAGAAACACCTGTGTATGTTTTCAGATCTGAAGCAGCTTGATTTTCTCCTCTCTCTCAGAGATGAAAGCTTTAAGTGCTGTTTATCTGATGGGGGCAGTTTTGGGGTCTACCAGCATTTCCAGGTGGTTGTTAGGAGACACATTTTCTCTGAAGCTTTTAATCAGTTTTTTAACTCTTTTGAAGGTTCCTGTTTTTCTTTCCACTTGCTTTCCTTTGACTTTCTCCATCTTATCTAATCACCCGAGAAACATCTCCTTTAGCCATTTTAGATGCTCATGAGAGAGAAATGTCTGAGGTGAGTTTGGGTAGCTGTTTGTGCGAATGTTAGTATCTCCTTGAGGGGGGACATAAAAATAGGGTGAGATCTTTGGAAACAGCTTTTGCTGGGTGAACACAGCCGTAACTGGAAGCGTGGAAGTTGAAGTGGCAGCAGGTGCACAAAAGTGAAGAACGGCAAATGAAATACTGGAAGATCTGACGTTATATTTAGTTGTGGAGCTTTCTGTGTATTTTTTGTTAAATTTTCTGTTAAATAAAGCCACTGATGTCTTACAACAGCTTCCTGGGTTACTTCCTAAATACTCATCTGTCTGAAATATAGTGATTCGTGTGGGGTGTAATGATATTCTGGACCAGAGACTGGAGGTGCCAAAGCAGGATTATACTAGGCTTCTTACTTCTTTTCAAAAATATGGCAAAACTGTGTTTATTTCTGACCTTATGCCACCTTTTGGAAAAGCAACTGGATGCTTTATTCACACTAAGTCCTCACAGTTGGCCTCAGGAGGCCAAATGTTTATATCATTGATAGTATATGCAAACTGGACCCAGTCATTCTGCTTGAGGTGAATGGACAGCTTCTCTCACTTGGTCCTCTTATGCCAAAGCAGCTCACTTCTGGGGCCTGTTTTTATTGACAACTTCAGTCTTTTCTGGAATTGTCTGCCCTTTTTAGGAATGGCAGAATTCACCCCAGTAACCTAACTGATAATAAATACTACTCTGATGTAAATAGGGCTAGAGTCAAGACCATATTTGTCGAGTCCAAGACCATATTTGTCGAGTCAAACCCCCAAAAAATTAAGACCAGGCCTTAATTATTCTTTATCTTCTTCCAGTACAAATTACTGGAACAATGTAAAGGAAAGATTTCCCTTCCACAAAACAAAACCATATGTACAAATATCATTCCAGCAAATTGAGATCATAATAAAATACTTCCTCTTCATACTTACAACCACAAATGTGGCACGGATTGAACGTTTCTCTGCATTCAATGTATCACTTTAACTAATGTCTGTTTTAAATGAAATAAAATCCAACTAATCCCTGTATCAAGAAATAACATAAAAATGTGATTAAAAACAACAGATCATCTGTTCCTGTCTTGATGGCCTTATTCAGTCACTTAATTAACTTGGCTGTTTTAGTTTATCCTTGTTTGTCAGTCCTGGCATGAAAATTATACCAAGATATTGTCTGATTCTTTTTTTTGACAGAGCACGAGTGATGCGGCAGGAGCAGAGTGACGTGATTTTGCTTTTTGAGCGTGGGGCTGCTTTCCAGAAAGTTAGTGCTGGAAATCACTCTGATGCTGCTCCATCCTCTGAACCAGTCAGTCATTTTTTTCCTCACTGACTGCTTCTGAGTGACATGGGTGACATGGGTGACAAGGCATGACTGCTAAAGCTCGCACACCACGACCATTCATACATAGCGTTTACACTGGGGAGCACAGAATGTTTAACTGGTTTTCATGTAGTGACGGTCATAAATTATGTAATTAATGAAATAAAGTGTGTGGCGTCCTGTCCACACATTCAAGACTCAAAACAAATATAATAAGAGTGAAAAAATACAACGCTTTGAGCAAGGAGAGGCAGAAATGTCTGCCACTCCACTCCACTCTCATACTCTGCTCTACACCACTGGGTCAGCGTACAAAATGCTTTTAGCCTATCTAATAGAGGTGGCACAATACATACACATATTAATGCTGTTCTTTTTTTTTTTTTTTATATACACATCAGTTAGTTCCAGCCACGCAAGCTGATTGGTTGAGAAGTGTTCTGTGTTGTTATTTCACCATAACATCACGTTTTTTTCCCACAAACACTCCGCTGCGACGCCGTTGCTAAGCAACGACTTTGACAGCTGTAGGAGACGCTCAAGCCATTTAAACATTTTTACTTCTTACTTTGCCACAAACAGAAAATGGACACTTTTAAGATCACATTTGACCGACAGCCGATTTGGTCAGACTCTGAAGATGAGACGACACTAAATTCCCAAACTGTCATCACCACTGAGCAGCTTTTCAGTCGGCAGCTGTGACAGAAGAACAGCTAAACAACCTGGAATCAGCCAGAAATGAACCCAATACCATTCGCCAAACGTGTAGTCTGATCTTCAGAGCCTGACCAAATCAGACTGAGACATAAAACCGCCGTAATAAAAAAGCTGCTCAGTGGTGACAGTTTGGGAGTTTAGAGTAAGGAGTTGGAGAACGAACTGCCAGCTGTGCAGCGAGTGGGCGGAGCTCGTTACTCTGACGTAGCAACAAGCTGCTTGTTAAGGAACTATAATTTGGTGAAGGAACTGCGAACATTAAAACATATTAAACGCCGCGTTCACGGCCCAGTTTATTAATTTATTACTTTATTTATTTAACTGTTGTATAAAATCAATAGAACACTCGAGGAGTGTGTTATCGCCAATAACATCACGGCTGTGATGATCTACGGCGACCAAATCACAGCCCTGATGTTATTTCTGATGTTATTTATGAACTACACCAGCGGTCTTTAATTAAAAGTCAATAAGGTCCAGTCAGAGAAAACATCCTCAAGCAAAGGTCTGGAACATCATAATGTCTAACTTGCATGATGATTCGGTGCCATATACTGTTTACTGAAGTAGCCTAGTAGGTATATCAACATTTTATGTAGTCGACATCTGAATATCAAATCAAATACAATTAAAGTAATTGTTAAGTTCAATTCAGTGACATTTCAACATTCCTAACGTCCTCATTCAAATCTCAGTGCTCATTATAATGCACAGATCTGATTGGCTGAGTAGCGTCACGTGATATTTACAACGCATGTGATTGGTCTGAGTCTCCCGGGCTGCTAAAGCTACCGTAAAGGCTAGAAAAGCTATGCTGATTAAAATAGCACCACCCCGTCAAAATTAAATAATTCTCCATAGTTTACCAGTTATAGCTTCAGGTCTGCATAGGACAGCGTCTGGGTCTGGACTCGGACCACGGTCTGCATATTAGTGACCTCTGAACTACACAAAGACAATTTTAACATTTTGATAGTTGTATTAATAAAATAGAGATGTTTACATTTAAGCTCAGACTTTGTTTGCAATTATAACTTAAGTTGAAATGTGAATATAAAGTATATGAACTGATTAAGTTGGATGTCCTTATTATTCAGTGTCTTGTGTTGGTTGGGCTGATCATGATGTAACTGTATGGTACATCCAGTGGATCAGGTAGGCTTGTGCTTGTGTTTACAGAGCGGTCAGGGTTCATTTAAACACACAGCTGTGTGTTAACCCCCTAAACTTAGTGGTTTAGCCAAACCTGTGTTGAACTGAGACTAGACTACTGCTAAGTTGATGACGGAGCAAAATGCTCCAGTCCGTCAAGCTACATGGTTCAAACTTCTGTTTACAGAAGTATCCACAACTTTGTAAAAAATAAACAAACAAATGAATACATACATAACAGCCAGGCATCTCGGTCAGTGGCCTGAGCACACGGACACACCATCCTGCAGGGTAGGGTGCAGGGTAAGACGCCCTTCCAGCGATTTCTCTGATATTTATGTTTTAAAAAGAAACCAGAGGCCGTATTACAGAAACATCCTATCTTTTTGTCTACAGAGGATGAGAGTTTTCACAAATTCATATTACAGAATCAAATATGATCTTAATTTAGGAAACTTATTACAGCATCTTATTGCAGCTCCCCAGTTTCAGTCTCCATTTCCCAAACACTTTAGACGAGTGCGCTAACGTTATTCCTCCTAATAAACAGACACATGTTCAGCTCCGTCTCCTCATTATTCACCACCATCACTGTAATATTTCATCATAAACGTTAACAAAGTCTGCTCTCATCAGTCTGACACAGGTAGACAGTCAGGTGACGGATAGTCAAGTCAAGAGGTTTTTGTCATTTCTCAATATAAACTTGTATACATTAAAAGAAATGTTCTTCAGGCCACATGGTGCAACATTACAGAGGACTACATAAGAGTGCAGATACACGACAGGGTGAAACAAGTGCAGAACATAAAGTAAAAACACTCAACAAACACACGATAAATACACAACACAAATACTAGACAGGACAACAAATCTGCATATGCGATTGGGCATCATATATATGTACATATACACACATACATACATACATACATACATACATACATGTATGGCATCAAGCATGTTAGTGAGAAGGAACCAGTGCAAACACTGTCACTGTAAACTGAAAGATAAGTAGAATGTGTAGCTTTGCCCTTGATCATTTTTGAGTACTGACAATTGACTGACACAGCTAGCTGGCTATTGTTCTGCTTGTGTCTCCCTTAAAGGCATATCCCTCCCCCCATGTGGATCGTATTGTCCCCATCTGGCCAGGTCTTTATAATGTAAAAATAATTTGGTCTTCTAACTTAGAGTAAATAACCTGACTGCCTTACATTTTTAATTACGCTGAATTTATAAACTTTCATTTAACTAGTTAACAGAATATAAGACAACAGTTAACTAAGCAATAGAACACAGAGGGAGTGTGTTATGGCGAAATAACATCACGGCTGTGATTTGGTCACCGTAGATCATCACAGCCGTGATGTTATTGGCGATACACACTCCTCGAGTGTTCTATTGATTTTATACAACAGTTAAATAAATAAAGTAATAAATTAATAAACTGGGCCGTGAACGCGGCGTTTAATATGTTTTAATGTTCGCAGTTCCTTCACCAAATTATAGTTCCTTAACAAGCAGCTTGTTGCTACGTCAGAGTAATGAGCTCCGCCCACTCGCTGCACAGTCTGCTGTAAGCCTCGCCTTTTGAAGTCATAAAACTGCTGCAATATCAAGTTCAGCTCAGTTTTGTCAGTTTTTACCAGATCAGTATTAATGTTGTTTTGTTCCAGCCAGTCTGTAAAGCATCTTACAGCCCATTTAGTTTGGCGAATGGTGTTGGGTTCATTTCTGGCTGATTCCAGGTTGTTCAGCTGTTCTTCTGTCACAGCTGCCGACTGAAAAGCTGCTCAGTGGTGATGACAGTTTGGGAATTTAGTGTCGTCTCATCTTCAGAGACTGACCAAATCGGCTGTCGGTCAAATGTGATCTTAAAAGTGTCCATTTTCTGTTTGTGGCAAAGTAAGAAGTAAAAACGTTCAAATGGCTCGAGCGTCTCCTACAGCTGTCAAAGTCGTTGCTTAGCAACGGCGTCTCAGCGGAGTGATACAGTGTTTGTGAAAAAACATGATGTTAGAACGCTTCTCAACCAATCAGCTTGCATGGCCGGAACTAACCGATGTATAACTTAGGATAACTTATAATAATTAACAAAGTTAACTATTAGAGGTTAATTGAACACAGCTTTTTAAGGCAGCCAGTCCATTTAACATTAAAACAGCAAATTATTCTGAACAAGGCACAAATGATTCTGGTCAAGGCACAGGAAAGCAATCATACCTACATGACCGCCGATCCTGATTTGGCTCCCTCTGTAAAGCAGTCAGGGCAGAGAGAAAAGACAGAAGAGGCCAAGAACAGGGAAGTTAGGAGCGCTAGACAAGTACAACAGATTGCAGCAGAAGAAAGCTCAGAAAAAAAAAATGGTACAGGAAGATATTAATTCAAGGATGGATTTAAAAGAAGAAGTTATTGATGGTGTTCAACCTGTTGTGGAGATCAGAGATTAATCCCTGAATGCTGTCCTTAAAAATCTGTTGACAAATAGCAATCCATTCACTCACAGGCAGCAATAAGCAGGTCAGCTATTACACTGGTTTATCTAGTTTTGCTGTGTTGATGGTTCTCTTTTGCTTTATTGAGCATTAAAACTCATCTTACCAAGTTTCAGAAACTTCTGTTTGTATTAATGAAACTCCGAAACAGTTTTCTTAAACAGGATCCAGCCTACAGCTTTGGGATTTCCTGCACTCTTACACACACACACACACACACACGGCTCTCAGACTACAGTGAGAGGCCTTCATATTTAGCAGCACACAGTCTGTATCTAAAAGGCATCACACCACAGGGATCAGCGTCCTTTCTTTCCAAGAGCTGGCGAGAGTGCTCAACTGACATATATGACAAATTTATTGTGGGGTCAGTTTAAGACAGACATGGGAGAGGCCATTAGTGTTCTTTCATTTACACCAGCAGAAGTCACATAAAACCACCTGGACAAAGCAAGCACTCCTAGCCATACAATATCTTTTAATGGTAGACACACAAACTCCCCACTACCTCACCACAGCCCAACACAAAATAACACAAATAACCCAAAACAAACACCAAACAACATTAACAACAACACACACAACAACTAATGTCTCTTTCAGTGAAGGGGCGGCGGAGTATGCGGCGCAACTTTACATACCACGCCTCCAAAGCCCCTTTCAGAACACGGAGCCGGTGGCAGCCGCCAGACTGTCTTAGAAAACTACATCTAGACCAGGGGTGCACAACTCCGGTCCTGGAGGGCCAGTGTCCAGCAGAGTTTGGAGGTTTCCCTAATCAAACACACCCACTTAACCTAGGAATTAACAAGTAAGTGTAATCATGTGTGTTGCAGCAGGTACATCACTGGACACCGGCCTTCCAGGACCGGGGTTGTGCACCCCTGATCTAGACCTTAGACACCAAATATTGACAAGATTAAAAAAATTATGCTTAAGGACATTTAATAGTAAGGTGTTCAATAAAACAATCTGGTTAAAGCAAGTTCATAATCATTTATGAAATTCTTTTAATTATTTTTAACTTTTGCACCCGAAAACTGCTTTTGGAACTAAGCATGGTCTGTTATTTTATGCTATTACCACTTAATGGCAATAAAGCCTTGGTACTTCATTTTGTGTGTCCATGCTCTTTACAGCAGCGGTTCTCCACCCTGCTCCTAGAGGACCCCCTGCCCTCCACATTTCTGTGTTTCCTTTGCTTCTAACACACCTGATCCAACAAAGTATTTTACTGCCAAGCCATTGCTGAATTGAAGTGGGTGTTTTAGAGGTGGAAAACAGAAAAAGGTGCAGAGCAGGGGGGTTCTGCAATTTCCCTTTGGGATCGATGAAGTTCTATCTATCTATCTACTCCAGGACCAGGGTTGGGAACCTGTGCTTTACTCACAGTGGCCTTGCTGTTTTTCTTATTACAGAGGTTTCTTTTGAACTGTGTTAGACACTGGGACACAATCAGAGTAGTTTGGCAGGAGAGCATAACTGGTTTGTCTTTAGTAGCATTAAGTTAACCAAAAGAAGTAATCATCTCAGCATCTAATGGCTCTGAGACACCAGGGAGCTTCTGAGACATCAGGGAGCTACTTATATTGTGTTTCTCTTCCTCTCTGAACTTAGATTTCACTGATATTTCTGAGTGAAAGTAAATTTTCCCCACTTCGAGGCACCATTTATGTGATTGCTTGGCAGTTACCAAAATGCAGGTTTTCCTGTTGCAGTTTGGGGCTCATGACACAAAACAGCTGCCTGCATAGCAAAAAACTCTGCTCCTACATGGTTACATGTGTTCCCTAAGCCAGCCACACAACTATGGTGTGCAGCCAGACAGATTTAGTTGTGCGTGAGAAGGTAAAGATGTCTGGAGCCACTTTAAACTACTTTTTAAAATGATGTCAGACTCAGGAAAACGTCCTTCACATGTCCTTATTAAAGAAGGCCGAGAGGAAGACGTCGTGTTCTGAGACACATAAGCTGGACGTCCGTCCCACCGCCGTCTTTTAAAGATCAGAGCATAAACTTCGTCGCCTCTGCAGACCAGTTTCTGCTCCGCCATGTTCAACGGTATAAACTCTCACTATGACGTGACGAACATGATCAGAACGGACTTAAACTTTCCGAAGGGGAATGTAATCAGATACAGGCGTTTACACGGATATTATTCTTCTATTTAACAGATTATTTACAGGATTACCCACCTCGATCAGTCGGATAGAAATTGTATTCCGAATGACCTCAATCGGACTAGACTATTCTGATTGAGGTGTTTACATGGACGTATTCTATTCCGATTGAGCTATTAGCTGGATTATTAATGGATTATCATTCTCCATCAAAATGTAAAGAGTTTCCTATGTTTTTACTGACAAAATGACTAATATTCAATCAGGCTGAGCACACGGTCTATCATCCAGTGAAGATGCAATATCTGTTCATCCAGAGGACAAAAAGCACTGCCATACCTGACTCACTGTGTCCAAAGGCCTCCATCACTGTGCCGAGGAAGGTGGTTGACCAGGTTGCATCATCCTTCATCTCAGCAGTACCACTTTCCCTTTCACTCTCCGTCATCTCCTTCATCCAGTCCTGTTTAGGAGTCCTGACCCCATCTGTACTGCTGTAGGAGTCAATCTGTCTGTCATCCAGAGTCACTGCACTGAACTCATAGACGTTACTGGCAGAGCGCTTGGACTGGACAGTGTAGAGGTAATACAGAGAGTGTTTATCTGTGAAAACAGAGAAATAAAAGCAGGTCATGATCAGTTCACCAAGATCTGTTTCATTTTTTTTTCCCTAACACTGCAAGAGCAAAGAGCCCTGCCCTGACATAAGTGTGAGCAAAACAGAGTAGTTCAGTCAAACAGTAGTACAGTAGTGCAGTAGATGGGCGTGACATTCATTCATTCTTTCCTGTAGGAAAAATAACTGTAATTTAACTAAGGCTGTATGAAAACCGAATGTTGGATCAAAAAGCTTTTTTCCAGTCACAGCATTCCTGATCAGACTGAGCACTTAGCTTACTAAAAATGTACTTCAAGAAGAGGGAAAAAAAAGAATAGCAGAAGAAAAAGAGTGGAAGAAGAAGAATATACCGTAGGACCCATGTGTCAAACATAAGGCCGATCCTACCCAGTATTGTAATTTTCTATTAATATTAACTTGTTTTGCAATGTGCTGCACTACAGTCCCCAGCATGCCCTGCAACATAATGTGCTCCAGCTGTCCTACCACAACAACAGTCTAGGATAAATTTGTCTTTTTCTTCAAAATATGGCCTTAGCCTTTACACACGACTGTGGGGACGAGCTCTTCTGTGGTGCTTGGAAGTCTATATGATTGATTTATAAACCAATATTGCTAAACTGAAGCTCAAGAAGGTGTAACTGTAAAAATGACCTATTGTTTCGTGTTAAAATATGAATAAATTGTAACCCTGCCATGTTTTTCAAGTGTATATCTGTAAATGCTAGGGACGTTTCTGTAGAATGACCCCAATGAACTTGCAGCAAAGAAAGGATGCCAGGTGTCTCGTTCAAGCAGATAGGTAGCCTTGAAGGACTTGGGGACGTTTAAATTAGAATAATAAGTGTCCATGTAATGTTTCAAGGTCTACCACACGAGTCTGTATTTTACTGCTGACGTTTTAGCGCATTTTAAATAAACAATGGTCAGTCTGGGTTAAAGCACAACGTTAATTAAACATGAAGTAAGACCTTTTTCTCTCTGGCCCGCAGATCTGATGAGATTTGTTAACACGGCCCTGTTGCTGGTTGAGATAAGTGCTACGCATTTCCTGGTTTTCGATGACCCAGCAAATAATGCGGTCTGCAGGAAAGAATCGACTCACCTTCGAGAGCAGAGACGAACACGGTGCACAGCACAGCGGCGCAGAGAACTGCGGACGCCCGCATCGTCTTCTCTAGGAGCAGGACAACATCAGTGGACGCTGTTTTGTTGAGGAAAGGTCATGTTCTCCGCTGCTCCTGCAGGCGTCCATGTTCATTCGCTCCCAGCACGGACTCAGAATTTCCCTGCCCCCGGGTCCCAACCTTTTTTTAAGGCGGAAGGGGAAAGTTAGCACTGCCTACCGACACGTTAGTGTACTACTAGTGATTTTTAATGCTCGTTATGAAGAAAAGGGCCATAATACACTGAAACCACATTAAACTAAGACAATACGACGGCTAATGCCATTTTTAACGGAGTAAATTCTCATGTTTGTGGGTTTCTCTCTTGTTCAGCCATCTTGCCGGTTTTTCTGTTTTTCCCACAGCACTCTTGTTTGGAGTGTGTCTGAAAGACCCCATGGCCCAGTCCCATTTCACCCCTCGCCCCTACCACTGAGCCTTTAGCCCTCTGTTTTGCGCGTTCACGTCTAGGGTAAGGGTGTCCCAATTTTAGTTGAGATAGAGGGGTAGGGTGAAGTGTTAGGGCTACATGTCCCTCCAAACGGAGGTTTTTCAGAGACTCCAAATGGAGTGTTATCAGAAAAAAAGAAAAACCGGCAAGATGGCTGCGCGAGCGACCAAAGAAACCCACAAATGTGAGAATGTTCCCCGGTAAAAAATTACAATAACTATCGTATTATCTTAGTTTAATGTTGTTTCAGTGTATTTTGGTCGTTTTCTTCGTAACAAGCACAAAAAAAATCGCTAATAGCATGCTAATTTCTCTGTAGCTAGCTAACTTTCCCGTTCCACCTTAAATAGTCCGGCAGCATTGACGCCAGGAGCACAAGAATGTAACTGCTGCACCATTTAAGGTGGAACGGGAAAATTCTAACAAGAAGCTAGCGAATAGATCACTTCAGCTTCGTATCACCAAATAATCGGAGTGGGTGGGTAAATAATCGGAGTGGGTGATAGTAAATAATTGTCTTATCCCCCTCTTTGAAAACATTTGATGCGCTAAATGTAACTAAAGCCCAGTGAGGAGCTGAACTTCTCCCTTCTCTGCTATCACTAAAGACGCGCTGGGTCGCCTGCAGAGCAGTAGGTTGTTAATGAAGCGATGTTTTGTTTTGTTTTTTATTTGAGGGTTTGTCCCATTTCGTAGGGCAAGTTTTTAACCACTACCCCTTGTAACTCAGTTCCAAGGGGTTAGGGTGACACTCGAAAACATGGGGTAGGGGTAAAAAGAAGAAATGGGACTGGGCCCAAGTATATGTATCTGCAGCCCGGAGAACCAGTGGGCGTAACGAATAGGCGGAGACACTGTCAATCATTTTTAAACACTGTGTCCACTCACTGTCCACTCTATTAGACACTCCTACCTCGTCAGTCCACCTTGTAGATGTAGAGTCAGAGACGATAGCTCATCTGCTGCTGCACAGTTTGTGTTGGTCATCCGCTAGTCCTTCATCAGTGGTCACAGGCCGCTGCCCACAGGACGCTGTTGGCTGGATATTTTTGGTTGGTGGACTATTCTCAGTCCAGCAGCGACACTGAGGTGTTTAAAACTCCAGCAGCACTGCTGTGTCTGATCCACTCAGACCAGCGCAACACACACTAACACACCACCACCACATCAGTGTTACTGCAGTGCTGAGAATGATCCACCACCCAAATAGTACCTGCTCTGTGAGGGTCCATGGGGGTCCTGACCACTGAAGAACAGGGTAAAAGGGGGCTAACAAAGTATGCAGAGAAACAGATGGACTACAGTCTGTAACTGTAGAACTACAAAGTGCACCTATATAGTAAGTGGAGCTGATAAAATGGACAATGAGACAAAATGGACAATATACTGACGCATTACTGCTACTGAGGGCTGATTGGTTAGCATTACTGCTACTGAGTGCTGATTGGTTAGCATTACTGCTACTGAGCGCTGATTGGTTAGCATTACTGCTACTGAGCGCTGATTGGTTAGCATTACTGCTACTGAGTGCTGATTGGTTAGCATTACTGCGACTGAGTGCTGATTGCTTAGCATTACTGCTACTGAGGGCTAATTGGTTAGCATTACTGCTACTGAGGGCTGATTGGTTAGCATTACTGCTACTGAGTGCTGATTGGTTAGCATTACTGCTACTGAGGGCTAAATGGTTAGCATTACTGCTACTGAGTGCTGATTGGTTAGCATTACTGCTACTGAATGCTGATTGGTTAACATTACTGCTACTGAGTGCTGATTGGTTAGCATTACTGCTACTGAGGGCTGATTGGTTAGCATTACTGCTACTGAGGGCTGATTGGTTAACATTACTGCTACTGAGTGCTGATTGGTTAACATTACTGCTACTGAGGGCTGATTGGTTAGCATTACTGCTACTGAGTGCTGATTGGTTAGCATTACTGCTACTGAATGCTGATTGGTTAGCATTACTGCTACTGAGTGCTGATTGGTTAACATTACTGCTACTGAGGGCTGATTGGTTAACATTACTGCTACTGAGGGCTGATTGCTTAGCATTACTGCTACTGAGCGCTGATTGGTTAGCATTACTGCTACTGAGGGCTAATTGGTTAGCATTACTGCTACTGAGGGCTGATTGGTTAGCATTACTGCTACTGAGGGCTAATTGGTTAGCATTACTGCTACTGAGGGCTAATTGGTTAGCGTTACTGCTACTGAGGGCTGATTGCTTAGCATTACTGCTACTGAGCGCTGATTGGTTAGCATTACTGCTACTGAGGGCTAATTGGTTAGCATTACTGCTACTGAGGGCTGATTGGTTAGCATTACTGCTACTGAGGGCTAATTGGTTAGCATTACTGCTACTGAGGGCTGATTGGTTAGCATTACTGCTACTGAGGGCTGATTGGTTAGCATTACTGCTACTGAGGGCTGATTGGTTAGCATTACTGCTACTGAGGGCTGATTGGTTAGCTTTACTATATATTTTGAATATATTTTTACAATCAGCAGTCATGAACATCAGTTACTACAAATGCAGGGTAAAGTCTGTACTGCTAAAAAACAGCAGAGACCGTCATGGATGGTCATCAGCAAAACCAATATATGTTGTTTTTTGATGCTGGTGTGCTGGTCAACCATCACAACCAAGCTGGGTGGACCAGCTAAACCAGCACCAGACCAGCATAAACCCATTTAAACCAGCATGCTGGTCTGTGCTGTTTTTCCTCAGGGTTTTAAAAGCTCTTAGTGTGTAGAAAATGATCACGAAGAGTCAAGTAGATTTCTTTATTTTGACTTTTGCTCCCATATATGTACTTATGTAGTGTAAACAATACATTAAAACAGTACATCGAAACCTGTTTTGCAGACATTACTGATATTTTCCTGCGTTCTCTGTCTTTTTATTTCTGTTTCATAAACCAGAGAGTTCTGGTTAGCTGCCTGTCCAGATCAGGACACTTTGGTCTGCACTGACAATAAAGACCAATGACACAGAGTTTAGCTTGATCTCAGATAGAAACACAATAATGACACAGATCAGCAAAGAAATCAGTCACTTCAGCTTTGTACACAGACAAATACGCACCATATAAACCCCAAACACAGTACAGAGAGGCGGATTTAGTGTGACTCCATACTGGATTAAGGCAGGACTGCAGTTAAACTGTCAAACATTTACTCAAAACAATCACTGAGCAACAGTTTAACTTCAGGTTCAAGTTTAAAGATCCTGTTTTGATTAAAAAGTACATTAATCTTAAGAATTACCCAATTCGGTAACACAAAAAACAAACAAACAAAACACATCAAAACAACAGTAACTTTACAGAAGAAAACTAAAACGTTCTTAACATGTAAATTACTGTAAAGATTTGATTTTAGAGCGTTTCTATTAACTCATCATGAAATACTCGCATAATGTATTTTTACAGTATAAAAACAGTATAACAGCATAATTGAAAATCATATTTGCTAATGTCATACATGGTATATATATATATATGTTCGCTTGAACACACAAATACATTAACAAGACAATAAACCCAAAATATGTAAAAAAATATAAGCCAAAAAAAAGTAAAAAATAAGCAAAAACAAATTGTATTAACCTTATTATTGAATATTGTTTCATATTCAAATCTTTGCAAATTCTTAACGTTTTAAGAGCTTTTGAATTTTTAGCTTTTTTTTAAAGATTTAAGTAATGACTGAATTCTAATTGAAAAGGACATATTTTAGTTTCACATTTGACCATCTGCTTTTATGTATATAATATTTACAATAATATCTGAGAAGATTAACAAAAACGACTGATTTGATTCACATAAACTCAAAGTATAAAACTGATACATCTTGTATGTAAAGCATCAAGACATTAGTATCAAAATACTAATCTTTTTCTATGTTTCTATTTGTAAAAAAAGTTTTATATAGTAATTCTATATTGAATAGTAATGTATAGTACAGCTCCCTCTCACAGCAAACTGAGCTCAGAGCGTTTTTCAAGTTCAAGAAAAAACAAATCCTCCTTTGTGGAAGAATAAAAGTCTCTTTCTTATAAAATAAGATCCAATCACAACACACATCTTATTAATGGACCTATATGCTCTACTTACAGCTAATGATTATGATTATGTACCATATTACAGGAACACTGTTCATTAAAGCACCGCAGTGTGTCAAAATAAAGAGCGACAGTGCGGGAGAATAAAATCCCTGTGCAGGTGGGCTTTTTTCTGCCCACACCAGCTTTGTCAGCGAATACTTCCAACCCTGTTTCCAAAAAAGTTGGGACACTGTGCAAAATGTAAATACAAACAGAATATGATGATAGACAAGTTATTTAAACCCTATATTTAATCAACAATAGTACAAAGACAGCATATCAAATGTTTAAACGGAGAGATTTTACTGTATTTTGAAAAATATTTGGCCATTTTTTTTAGTTGACACCACACATTCCACAAAAGTTGGGCCAGGGCAACAAAAGACTGGTGAAGTTGTGTAATGCTAAAAGAATACAATATCTTACAACTAATTAGGTTAATTGGCAACAGATCCGTAACATTATTGGGTATAAAAAGAATCTTTCAGAAGTAAAGATGAGGAGGAGTTCACCACTCTGTGAAAGACTGAGTGGGCAAATAGTACATAATGTTGTTAAAAGATTCAGAGAATCCAGAGAACTCTCTGTAAGTAAGGGACATGGCTGAAAACCAACATTAGCTGGCCGTGATCTTTGGGCCCTCACAAACACAATTCTGTAGTGGAAATCACTGCACGGGCTCAGGAACACTTCCCAAAACCACTGTCTATGAAAACAGTTCATCACAGTTCAAATGCCAGTTAAAACTCTACCATTCAAGAAGAAATCATATACAAACAGGATCCAGAAATGCTGCCACCTTCTCTGGGCCCGAGCTCATTTATGATCGTCCGATGAATCAACATTTGAAATTCTTTTTCGAAATCATGGACACTGTGTCCGGGCTAAAGACCACTCAGCTTGTTATCAGTGCACAGTTCAAAAGCCAGCATTCATGATGGTGTAGGGGTGCATTAGTGCACATGACATGGGTGACGTGCTCATCTGTGAAGGCACCATTAATGCTGAATGATATATACATATTTTTACAACATATTCTGCCATCCAGATGACGTCTTTTTCAGGGAAGGCCCTGATTATTTCAGCAAGACAGTGTCAAACCACATTCTGCATGTATTAAAACAGCAGTGTTCCATATTAAAAGAGTCCTGGTACTAAACTGGCCTGTCTGCGGTCCAAACCTGTCACCACTGAAAACATTTGGCGCCTGAAAAATATGATAAATGAGACCCTGAACTGTTGAGCAGCTGAGCATTTAGGCATTAAGCATTTGATATATTGCCTTTTAAATTAAATATAGGCTTTGGAGACAGGGTTGTATTTCAGATTTTTACACTTTTATCAATTTAATGCAAGTAATTTGACAGCGAAGATGTCTAATATGCTCAGATTTTGTAAAATAAATCTGAAAAAACTTCTAAGTTAGAAGAATTTGGTCGAATATGAAATACTTGTTCAGTGTGACTCATTTTAAAAACCTTTAAATACTTAAATTTCTTAAAAAAGATCATCATGTTTTGTGATGAACCCTTCAGTAGTAACGGAACATTACAGGTTAACAGACTTTAAATTAAAAAAAAAAGATTGTATCGGTGCTCGGAATTGAATGATATCCTGAGTTCACACCAAGAAAGAGAGAAAAAGCTGGATCGGTGCATCCTTAATTATTACAAACACCACCATCATTATAATAATCAGAAAACATCATCACCAGTAATAACAAAAAAATCATCATCATTCCATCCATCCATCCATCATCTAAATCGCTTATCCTTCTGGGTCACAGTGGGGTGCTGGAGCCTATACCAGCTGTCATTGGGCGGAAGGCAGGATACACCCTGGACAGGTCGCCAGTCCATCGCAGGGCAGACAGACAGACATACACATTCACACCTAGGGACAATTTAGCATGTCCAATCAGCCAGACGGCATGTCTTTGGACTGTGGGAGGAAACCCACGCAGACACGGGGAGAACACACAGAAATGTCCCTGGTCGCCCGGCCGGGAATCGAACCCAGGCCATTCTTGCTGTGAGGCGACAGCGCTACCCACTGCGCCACCGTGCCGCCTCATCATCATTCCAAATAGTAGAATTTATCTTCTCTTTCTAGATTCAGCCTGAGGGTCTCATGGCATCACTACATTCATCCACAGAGCTGATCAGCATGTGGATCAACATGTTATGTTGACGTCAATGTTGACAAAAACAGCCTTTATGATGACGATGCCTACTTAAATAAGTGTTTATAAATGTTGATGTAGGTCCTTGTGGGTTATAATGATGAACTTTTGTAGGCGTCCTCTAGCTTTATGAACACTCACCTACAGTAAAGTGTTACTGATCGTTTTCTATAAGTAACTTATTTTATTACCAATAATAATCGATTCTTAGATGCATCATCATTCATTCCAGCACTGTGGCTCTCACTGGCGCTCAGGTGTTGGACATCAGCCACTACCTGTGGCCTTTATTCACACTTAGGGCTCAGCCACTGGGCTCATGTGAGAGACAGAGGGGGGACATGGAGAGGGAGGGATGAGGTAAGAAGGAAAGGCTGACATTAAACCTGTGTAGGGTTCCAGGGGCTGAGGGAAAACGCAGGAAGAAGGGACAAGCACCAAAGGGTGGGCTCCATTTCCAAGAGGCTGGGATGTTCCTCAAACAGCTCCAGTGCCTTTATATCCTCCAAAGCAGGTCCAGCAGGTGGGCCAGTTATCTGTGGAGGAAAGCCTGGATGAAGGTAGAGAGAGAGAGAGAGATAGAGAGAGAGAGAGAGAGAGAGAGAGACTGGGGGAGAGAGGGAGAGAGAGGAATAGAAGTTAATCTAAAAGAAAAATGATGACAGAGAGACACTAATAAACAACTTTCACATCATAACTGTGATCTTTTCATCTTTGTAAATAAAGGCCTTCCATTTCAGATCTAACTGGGCTGACGGTGATTTTGTTCTCATTATTGCAGGTGACGTCCTGATAGTTTTTCCTGTTGCTGTGTTTTGTGTGGGGCTGGGAAAAGTGTGTGACCAATTAGGTAGATGCAATTTCCAAACGTGTTAATGTCCTGCAATATCATAACATCAGACTAGAGACTAGAGTCTGTTACTGAAAGCAGTGCAGTCATCACCCTACTTATTTAACACTTACGCCCTCTTATGGAGAAACAAAGCAACAGCAATTCACCAAAAAGCTTGTTTCACATAAATACAACCAACACGTCACTTCACTCAGCCTAGGCACATTTGTCCAATGACAACAACATAACTGAGTTAAAGCATAACAGAGTTAAATTCAGACGGCTGAGACGTACAAAGACGAGTAAAAACAACAGCAAAAGTAAATTTAAAAAAAAAATTTATAATGTAATAATTATCCCAGGCTAAATCATACTGACACAGTGGGCTTTCAGCTTTTGTAGTAAGGGAGCGGGGTAGTAAAGAGAACTTGGTTTGGAAATGGGTAGAAAATGACATTCTACTCTGTCGGGTCGAGATCTCATTTTTACAAAGGTGCTTTTGACCTAGGAGTGAAAGATGATAACAACAACAACAACAACAACAATAATAATAATAATAATAATAATAAGAAGAAGAAGAAGAAGAAGAATTGTTCTTATATTAAAATTGCAATTTGAAATCACAAGAGCTGCAATGGTAGCCTACGTTATCAATAACATTGCCTTACCAAGTTTAACACATTTGTCCTGTTAAACTTGTTGTCTGTAGATGATTAGACCAATCAGAAGCAGCAACCACACACTGTGACATCACACCCACACCTAACTGACTGAGTGTGTTTACATGCACTTAATAATCCGATAACTGCAGAAAATCAGATTTTGTCACTAATCTGATCTACACGTTTACATGCACTTGAGTGATCAGATAATGGGGAAACTCCAGGTCTACATGAGTCAGACAGTAATCAGACTTCTGCTTTACAACCAGCCAATAAACTCACCGAAGAAATTTCATCATGCAGCTTTTTTTTCTAAAACACATCACACCACTTTACCTGAAAATATGAACAAACATCATCTAGAAGATGAAGAATATTTAAATCCTTAATTTCGTCAAGCATGTATTTGGTTTCAGTGTCGCTCCAAAAGTGTTTTGCTCCGTCTCGCGACGACGCTGCTCACTTATTTCCAGTACCGCCATCTGTTTTCGCACATGCTCAGACTGAGAAATACGAAAGAAATCAGAATAAGAGTTCACAGCACTGAGAAATCTGATTACTGAGCTGAAATCCAGCCTCTTTATCAGATTTCTTAATCAGATTTCTAGACTGGAGTATGGTGTTTACATGACCATTTGAATAATCAGATAACTGCAGAAATCTGATTATGATCAGATTACTGGGTGCAGATAAATGCACTCAGCCTGAAACACTATGGTCAGTGTTCAAACCTCAAGCCAGAAAAATGGACTTGCTGGTCTTCTTGTCCAAAAAATAAGCGTTGAATTCAAGTTATAGAAAATAAACATTACTTAAGTCACAGCTGTAATATTAGTCAGAGAACAGGACAGAGAAAAGAACCTGTGTGATGAGTTTCACTGTGTTTGAGTAAATTATTAGTCTTCCACACTCACTGATGATCACAGTGTGTGTTTGGTGTTAACTGTGTCTAAAAGCCTGTGAGAGAATAAAGTGCTGATAATTATGGGAAATGATCATTATTATATTATTAATCTATTTTCTCTGATCAGTTGGAAGAGGAAAGATCAGGCAGACAGATTATTTCTACTGCATGTTCTCAACCACAAGTCCACTTTTACTTACGATCATTTGTTCTGCGTGAGTTTAAACTGTTGACCCACAGCTTCAGGAACCTGAAAAGCAACATGTTTATGGACGTGTTAAAGTAAATATACGGGGCAGTTGATTCTCCGAGAATCTGAAATAAAGATCAAGTGTCCCCAGATTTCTGCTGTGCAATGAACTTTGTAGGATCCTCTGATACTCTTATAGTGTGTTTTCACAAAGAAACTACAGATATTTACCAATAATACACAATAAATCACCATCAAAACCCAAAGTAAACTGGGTCCCGACAATGTAACCAGTAGAATCCTTACCAGTCAGATTAATGTTCACATCAACATTTTCGGTGCTGCTCCTCTTTGATCCACAAGTGGATTCCCTTCCTGAAAAAGAGTCAATAAGGTCACATCACAGCTGATTTACAGCAGACAGATATTTTTATTAATCACAAATCTCAGATCTTGGAATATTAATACCTGAGTCAGCATCAGAACCAGCAGCTGTAGACTCTGGAGGAGAGTTCAGATAAATATGGATTAGAACGAGTAGAGTGTAGAGAGGAGAAGGAGATTAACCCATTAACCCACTGCACTGATTCACACAAAGAATTTTATATTTCTGTTCACTGAAGTTTTAATAACTAAAGCTCAAGAACAAGGTTTATTAATATTATGTGTCTTAGTTTATCATGTACAGGATGATGATGATGATGATGATGTATAAACCTGCAGTTACAGATATAAATGAACAACAGTTCTGTTTATATCACAAAACAGAACATTTTAAAAAAGGAACTTTTTTAACATATAATTTTTAATCTCAATGAATTTCTGGCCTTTGTATATTTTAGAAATTGTATTATTAATGACAACACTAAAAAGATTATATTTTAAAATGAAATTGAGGCTTTTATCAGTTTCTGTCTTAATGATTCTACCTACTTTTAATAATTTAATATTTTAATGTTTTAATAAACATGTACATTTTTTTCTAAAAAAAAGAATGGTATATTTACTTTGACTATATCAACATATTATGCAAATTCATTCAATGGTATTGTTGTTGTTGTTTGTTGTTGTACTCAACTTTTAATCTGTAGTGTACATGATTACTGCTCATTAGAGAGTAGGTGGTGATGAAACTCTATACACTATAGATAGCATGTAATGCTAATACTAGCTATTCAGTGAAACTCCAGTGAAGAATATTTTGTCTTTATGGTAAAAACTGAACTAATTATATTAAATATATTTATGGTGATGCTCCGGCGCGCCACCACGATCCAGGAGGATAAGCGGTTTCAAAATGCTGATTACGCCCAAATCCTATATTTTTAACCAATTCTTTTTCACAACATTAATATACAGACATTAACATACATTACATTAATAACACATATCACAATTAGCTAATGACCAGATTTTCAAAAGTTTCCAGGTGAATAAATCTCAGGAATGCAGTGATTCAGACAAAATTTCAGAATAAATCTGACCATAAACATTCAGTAAATGTGTCAAGATTAGATTTGGACCCATCATTTCATATCAGGAGAGAAAGTAAGAGAGGGGGTCTTAGCCTGGGGGCTTCTTCTGCCAAGTTACCCTGTTTTATGGTTTTATCATACAGAACTCAGACTGCTCACCTGATCTACTGTACCTGAACAGTCTTCACTTATTACTACATTGCCAAAAGTATTCACTCACCCATCCAAAACATTGAATTCAGGTGTTCCAATCACTTCCATGGCCACAGGTGTATAAAACCGAGCACCTAGGCCTGCAGACTGCTTCTACAGACATTAGTGAAAGAATGGGGCTCTCAGGAGCTCAGTGAACTCCAGCGTGGTACTGTGATCGGATGCCACCTGTGCAACAAGTCCAGTCGTGAAATTTCCTCGCTACTAAATATTCCACAGTCAACTGTCAGTGGTATTATAACAAAGTGGAAGTGATTGGGAACAACAGCAACTCAGCCGCGAAGTGGTCGGCCACGTAAAATGACAGAGCGGGGTCAGCGGATGCTGAGGCGCATAGTGCGCAGAGGTCACCAACTTTCTGCAGAGCCAATCGCTACAGACGTCCAAACTTCATGTGACCTTCAGATTAGCTCAAGAACAGCGTAGAGAGCTTCATGGAATGGGTTTCCATGGCCGAGCAGCTCCATGGCCGAGCAGCTTACATCACCAAGCGCAATGCAAAGCGTCGAATGCAGTGGAGTAAAGCGCCGCCACTGGACTGAACAGGAAGGGGCCGTCCCCAGACTGTTCCCACGAAGTTGGGAGCATGAAATTGTCCAAAATCTCTTGCTGCTGAAGCATTAAGAGTTCCTTTCACTGGAATTAAGGGGCCGAGCCCAACTCCTGAACAACAACCCCACACCATAACCCCCCACCCACCGAACTTTACACTTGGCACAACGACAGAACCAGAACCTCACTGTGGAATTAGACCTCCGCATTTAACCCATCCGTGCAGTGAAACACTCGCATACATGCACACTAGTAAACACACACACTAGGGGGCAGTGAGCACACTTGCCCGGAGCAATGGGCAGCCCTATCCACGGCACCCGGGGAGCAATTGGGGTTAGGTGCCTTGCTCAAGGGCACTTCAGTCATGGACTGTCAGCCGAGGCGATTGAACCGGCAACCTTCCGGTCACCAGGCTGGTTCCCTAACAACTGCCCAATGCAGTCAGACACCATTCTCCTGGCAACCGCCAAACCCAGACTCATCCATCGGATTGCCAGACAGAGAAGTGTGATTCGTCACTCCAGAGAACATGCACCAGTGCACAAAGCAAGGTCCATAAAGACATGGATGAGCGAGTTTGGTGTGGAAGAACTTGACTGGACTGCACAGAGTCCTGACCTCAACCCGACCGAACACCTTTGGGATGAATTATAGCGGAGACTGCGAGCCAGGCCTTCTCGTCCAACATCAGTGTCTGACCTCACAAATGCGCTTCTGGAAGAAGGTCAAAAATTCCCATAAACACTCCTGACCCTTGTGGAAAGCCTTCCCAGAAGAGTTGAAGCTGTTATAGCTGCAAAGGGTGGGCCGACATCATATTAAACCCTATGGATTAAGAATCGGATCTCACTCAATTTCATATGCGTGTGAAGACAGACGAGCCAATACTTTTGGCAATATAGTGTATCACTCTGAACATGAAGCTTCCATAGTTTGCACAGAAAGATGACGCTGTGTTGTGGTAAATCAAGTGGAGAATTCTGTCATTGACCTGAGTCGAGTTGATCTTACTACACTAAACATGCTCTTCAGCAGATTATTACATAGTTTCTAAAGAAAGAACGAGTTGGAGAATTAGCAGAAATTAGTCTACAAACTCTGGAGTTACTCATGATAAAATATGTGTACACAGTTGTTCATTATTCTGCGGGATGAAGTCTAAAGAGGAAGTTATTCAGGTGAGATTCTGAACATAAACTTAGCAAACATCACTAATTTAAACACCAGAACAATCTCTGTTTATATTGTACCGAAATAGTTTTACAGCATTACTAAATGTCTGAAATGTTTATATAATGTACTTTATGCAGCTCATAGTTGTAAGTACTGGTTAATGTAGCTGAGTGATGTCTGTATTTATATGGAAGCTGAACTGAAAGATCATTTGTAATGTTTAGGGTTAATTCATTGTTTAACCTTCCAGAGCGAGACACTGTACAGAGTTAATGTTGTTCTGCTCTCACAGTGTGTTCTGGTTTCTCTGAGCAGTGTGGTTTAGGGGTCTCTTTGCTGTGTGATAAACACTTAGAGAAACCTGAACACACCGTGAGAACAGAACAGCATTAACTCTGTACAGCAGCTTCCTATGGAAGGTTAAAAATGAATCCATGTAAATTAAATAAATACATTTATTTATTGCTGCTTTTATGTTTAGACATTTTTGACAAAATTATGCAGAGAATATTTTGATCCTCAAATATTAACCATTTAAACCCACAGTGATAAACTACTTACCGTTGCTGAAGATTACATTTGGATGATGATTGTCTCTTTTACCTGAAAGCAAGAAGTTAATTTATTGACTTTATCAATTCATCGATTCATTTATGAACAAAAATATACATCCACAAACCTGAATCTATTTCACAGAGAATAAAAGTCACAGGCAGAAATCACTGCAGACTGCAGCTGTCATACGACTCAGCTGGATGAACTCTACACAACTTCCTAAATCCCTAACCTGTAATAAGGCATATTTCAAAACCAACTGTCTCAGACTAAACATCGGTCTTTCACAGAATTTCTTTTGTTGGTGTATCAGAGCTGAGACTAAGCTTGTTTGTGCTTTATGTGCTCCAGAGAACAGCAGTGTTGATAAATATGTGGTAATAAATCATTTTACTATGAACTGAAACTGTAAAGTGATGTGTTGAAGTTCTGATTATTATAAAAGGACTAAAGTTATAAAAGCTCTCATTTATCAGTACTGAACAAGCAGCTCCTCCATCTCTGCGCTCCACTATACATGTCTCTTCACCATTTTTTCCCTCAGCCTCCTAGGCTAAATGGCTAAATCACTCGTTCAGTTACGTCATTGACCATCTCAGACTACAGGACTCGTGAATGAAGTCGTACAAACAAAACATGTTTGAAAATATCGAAAGGCCTTCGATCACTTCAGAGCTCAATGAGAAAAGAATGAAGCACTAGCAGATCATCTGTGTCATTGATTGCTTCTGATTGAGCTCCCAACCTAGAGAATCACTTCAGATTGTCTCACACTGAGTTTAAGAACAGCTGGAAACATCAGCAGCAACATTCACTCAGTAGAACTCTGGAGACGTTCTTTTAGCAGAGCATGTGATAGAGTATTTATAATACGTTTAATATTTCTATTTGAAATAGAATCTGTGGTGATAGTGTCTATACTCACCATTTATCCTCTTCTTTTGAAGGAAAAAGAAGATGACCCCAACCAGCATGACCAGCAAAGACCACATCCCTCCAACAGTCACTCCTACAATCACTCCTCCACTCAGACCACTCTGACAGTCACTGTATTTCCCGTCTGTAGACAAAAAATCCTCCGTTTAACTGCACTGATAGCAGAAAGTTGTGATTCTAAATTGTGGCCTCCTCTTCTATCATGAATCTGTGAAGGACAATGATTTTGCTATTTAAGCTACAGAAATTCACCTAGAGTTTCATAAAAGCTTCATCCTTGGCAACATGCAGCTTCAAATGAACCTCCAACGTCTGATCACCTTATTACATCAATAAAACGTCCAACATCATTTAGTGAATTCACCACATTTGATATCAGCTAAATAACCTCACAGACTCAATGTTTTACAGTTAAAGATGAAATACATTATGATGTGAATAAACTAACATTAGCTGAGGTAACAGATGAACAGCATTTGTCTGTTTATGTTACAGACTTTAGGAGGTGCTCAGAGGAGCTGAGCAGTGCTGGACGTCACAGACTGGTAGAACACATCAACACTGAATGCAGGCAGCCGTGTGTGAACCTCCTCAACAACCACTGTTTCCCATTTCTGGATGCTGCGTGTTGATGTGTGCAGTGTGTGTGGCAGCTTTTTAGAGTCTGCAGATGAGTAGAACTTAATCCAAAAGATAATGTAAAAGAACTGCAATGCAAACAGGAGGGGAGGGCTCTATTCCTCTAATATTTTCTTTTTTCCCACCATTACAAGCCATGAATGTGGACAAACACAGATTTAATTACCCAATTGTTTAGTTAATGGTGTGTTGAGGGAGCTGTGATTCACAAAACAGTTGTAATCTGCTTTTTCATCCTCCTGGATCTCCACACTCTTCCTCAGCTGGTAGGTTTCATCTTCATTGGGTCTGACTCCTGAAGATGTTAGTAGATGTTCAGGCAGTGAAGTGTGGCACATTCTCAGTGTAATCTCCACGTCTTTGGGGTAGAAGCCCGTGGCCAGGCAGGTCAGGGTCAGCTTCTTCGATTCAGTTACAGATTTCTTCACAAACACATGAACATCTGGTGGAGCTAAAAACGGAGTAAGTGTGAATGCAAAATTTGAAATTCAACCAGAATTCAGATCTCTATCAAAATTAAAAACTATGTATATAATTCATACATAATTAAATGGTTAAGATGAAAATAAGTTATTCAGAAGTTATTCAGAGTGGTTCAATATTTTTTAAAAAGATTTCAACACATCTAAAAGCTCCCTTACAGGTCCCTCCTCACTGTTTATCATTGCTTTACCATCATCATCATTCCATTTAAGCTCAGAAGACTCGTGTAGGTTCACTGGTGGTTCTGGATAGTAAATAAAATGTCTATATATGTGTTGTAGTCATGGCGACCCCTGGTTCCTATCACCACCACTGTAAAGACATCTGAACCATTTCACACCAAACCACTCTGAATCACTCTGATTACATCTCACACACTGAATTATGGAGAAAAATTAGAAAAATGGGGGTAATTCCCCTTTAATGCTATATTTATCTTTACTGCAGTGAATACAGAGAAAGCTGTTATTTGCAAAATAATTACACTACTATTACTACTACTACTACTACTACTACTAATAATAATAATAATAATAATAGTTACTATTACTCTAATAATGGCAAATATCCAAAATATTACATGGTTTGAGGTTATTACTACTAATAATGACAAGGTTGCCAACTCTCATGTTTTTTTTTGTGAGACTGATTTTGGGTCTCACAGAATTCACATCGGAAATTTCCCATTCATTTAAAATATGGAGTCAGCAAAAAAATTGTGAGGGATTGTGGGATAGTGTGCAGTGTGAACATTACATGTGAAAAGCTGAGCTGGCTTCAACTTTATACGAATTACATGAAGCGCTGACCAATCGGGCAAAAGCAACTGTCCATCACAATGAGAATGTGCTTTCATAGTTCTGTCTGGATGACATGGATGAGAAGTTAGTAACAGCTGAGCCTGGGTTCCCATTCTGTACGATACAAAATGGGTAGAAAGTATGGTGGCCTACAAGACCCTATTCATAGTACAATTAAAAACATAATCAAAGTCATAAACATGCTGCAAAACAAAATCATAAACATGCTGCAAACTGTCATCAACACGACTACACCTGAACTGAATTTCACAAACGCACTGCAAACAGAGAAAACACTTTCATCAACACGACTACACCTGAACTGCATTTCACCAAAGCACTGCAAACAGAGAAAACACTTTCATCAACATGACTACACCTGAACTGCATTTCACAAACGCACTGCAGAGAGGAGGATAGTAAGGTCTAGTGGACCAACAGAAGGAAGATGCCAACTCCAGTGATATAGAAGTGTGTTGCACTGTAATACCATTGCTAAATGTTGCTACAGTTGATATGGTTGATCACCTCCAAAGACTCAACAGCAACAGTTCAAGGCCAAAACCCATTAATGTGATTATACATTTTATCTGATGATGGTAAAGAGACGTGCTCTTTACAGCTATGATTCAAAGATGATCCCACAGAAGCTGACAAAACAGCAAGACAATGCCCAGAGCCTGAGGTGGAGTGTGCTTAGCAAAAACTTAGCAAAACTTAGCAAACATCACTAATTTAAACACCAGAACAATCTCTGTTTATATTGTACCGAAATAGTTTTACAGCATTACTAAATGTCTGAAATGTTTATATAATGTACTTTATGCAACTCATAGTTGTAAGTACTGGTTAATGTAGCTGAGTGATGTCTGTATTTATATGGAAGCTGAACTGAAAGATCATTTGTAATGTTTAGGGTTAATTCATTGTTTAACCTTCCAGAGCGAGACACTGTACAGAGTTAATGTTGTTCTGCTCTCACAGTGTGTTCTGGTTTCTCTGAGCAGTGTGGTTTAGGGGTCTGTTTGCTGTGTGATAAACACTCTTAGAGAAACCTGAACACACCGTGAGAACAGAACAGCATTAACTCTGTACAGCAGCTTCCTATGGAAGGTTAAAAATGAATCCATGTAAATTAAATAAATACATTTATTTATTGCTGCTTTTATGTTTAGACATTTTTGACAAAATTATGCAGAGAATATTTTGATCCTCAAATATTAACCATTTAAACCCACAGTGATAAACTACTTACCGTTGCTGAAGATTACATTTGGATGATGATTGTCTCTTTTACCTGAAAGCAAGAAGTTAATTTATTGACTTTATCAATTCATCGATTCATTTATGAACAAAAATATACATCCACAAACCTGAATCTATTTCACAGAGAATAAAAGTCACAGGCAGAAATCACTGCAGACTGCAGCTGTCATACGACTCAGCTGGATGAACTCTACACAACTTCCTAAATCCCTAACCTGTAATAAGGCATATTTCAAAACCAACTGTCTCAGACTAAACATCGGTCTTTCACAGAATTTCTTTTGTTGGTGTATCAGAGCTGAGACTAAGCTTGTTTGTGCTTTATGTGCTCCAGAGAACAGCAGTGTTGATAAATATGTGGTAATAAATCATTTTACTATGAACTGAAACTGTAAAGTGATGTGTTGAAGTTCTGATTATTATAAAAGGACTAAAGTTATAAAAGCTCTCAGACATTTATCAGTACTGAACAAGCAGCTCCTCCATCTCTGCGCTCCACTGTACATGTCTCTTCACCATTTTTTCCCTCAGCCTCCTAGGCTAAATGGCTAAATCACTCGTTCAGTTACGTCATTGACCATCTCAGACTACAGGACTCGTGAATGAAGTCGTACAAACAAAACATGTTTGAAAATATCGAAAGGCCTTCGATCACTTCAGAGCTCAATGAGAAAAGAATGAAGCACTAGCAGATCATCTGTGTCATTGATTGCTTCTGATTGAGCTCCCAACCTAGAGAATCACTTCAGATTGTCTCACACTGAGTTTAAGAACAGCTGGAAACATCAGCAGCAACATTCACTCAGTAGAACTCTGGAGACGTTCTTTTAGCAGAGCATGTGATAGAGTATTTATAATACGTTTAATATTTCTATTTGAAATAGAATCTGTGGTGATAGTGTCTATACTCACCATTTATCCTCTTCTTTTGAAGGAAAAAGAAGATGACCCCAACCAGCATGACCAGCAAAGACCACATCCCTCCAACAGTCACTCCTACAATCACTCCTCCACTCAGACCACTCTGACAGTCACTGTATTTCCCGTCTGTAGACAAAAAATCCTCCGTTTAACTGCACTGATAGCAGAAAGTTGTGATTCTAAATTGTGGCCTCCTCTTCTATCATGAATCTGTGAAGGACAATGATTTTGCTATTTAAGCTACAGAAATTCACCTAGAGTTTCATAAAAGCTTCATCCTTGGCAACATGCAGCTTCAAATGAACCTCCAACGTCTGATCACCTTATTACATCAATAAAACGTCCAACATCATTCAGTGAATTCACCACATTTGATATCAGCTAAATAACCTCACAGACTCAATGTTTTACAGTTAAAGATGAAATACATTATGATGTGAATAAACTAACATTAGCTGAGGTAACAGATGAACAGCATTTGTCTGTTTATGTTACAGACTTTTGGAGGTGCTCAGAGGAGCTGAGCAGTGCTGGACGTCACAGACTGGTAGAACACATCAACACTGAATGCAGGCAGCCGTGTGTGAACCTCCTCAACAACCACTGTTTCCCATTTCTGGATGCTGCGTGTTGATGTGTGCAGTGTGTGTGGCAGCTTTTTAGAGTCTGCAGATGAGTAGAACTTAATCCAAAAGATAATGTAAAAGAACTGCAATGCAAACAGGAGGGGAGGGCTCTATTCCTCTAATATTTTCTTTTTTCCCACCATTACAAGCCATGAATGTGGACAAACACAGATTTAATTACCCAATTGTTTAGTTAATGGTGTGTTGAGGGAGCTGTGATTCACAAAACAGTTGTAATCTGCTTTTTCATCCTCCTGGATCTCCACACTCTTCCTCAGCTGGTAGGTTTCATCTTCATTGGGTCTGACTCCTGAAGATGTTAGTAGATGTTCAGGCAGTGAAGTGTGGCACATTCTCAGTGTAATCTCCACGTCTTTGGGGTAGAAGCCCGTGGCCAGGCAGGTCAGGGTCAGCTTCTTCGATTCAGTTACAGATTTCTTCACAAACACATGAACATCTGGTGGAGCTAAAAACGGAGTAAGTGTGAATGCAAAATTTGAAATTCAACCAGAATTCAGATCTCTATCAAAATTAAAAACTATGTATATAATTCATACATAATTAAATGGTTAAGATGAAAATAAGTTATTCAGAAGTTATTCAGAGTGGTTCAATATTTTTTAAAAAGATTTCAACACATCTAAAAGCTCCCTTACAGGTCCCTCCTCACTGTTTATCATTGCTTTACCATCATCATCATTCCATTTAAGCTCAGAAGACTCGTGTAGGTTCACTGGTGGTTCTGGATAGTAAATAAAATGTCTATATATGTGTTGTAGTCATGGCGACCCCTGGTTCCTATCACCACCACTGTAAAGACATCTGAACCATTTCACACCAAACCACTCTGAATCACTCTGATTACATCTCACACACTGAATTATGGAGAAAAATTAGAAAAATGGGGGTAATTCCCCTTTAATGCTATATTTATCTTTACTGCAGTGAATACAGAGAAAGCTGTTATTTGCAAAATAATTACACTACTATTACTACTACTACTACTACTACTACTACTAATAATAATAATAATAATAGTTACTATTACTCTAATAATGGCAAATATCCAAAATATTACATGGTTTGAGGTTATTACTACTAATAATGACAAGGTTGCCAACTCTCATGTTTTTTTTTTGTGAGACTGATTTTGGGTCTCACAGAATTCACATCGGAAATTTCCCATTCATTTAAAATATGGAGTCAGCAAAAAAATTGTGAGGGATTGTGGGATAGTGTGCAGTGTGAACATTACATGTGAAAAGCTGAGCTGGCTTCAACTTTATACGAATTACATGAAGCGCTGACCAATCGGGCAAAAGCAACTGTCCATCACAATGAGAATGTGCTTTCATAGTTCTGTCTGGATGACATGGATGAGAAGTTAGTAACAGCTGAGCCTGGGTTCCCATTCTGTACGATACAAAATGGGTAGAAAGTATGGTGGCCTACAAGACCCTATTCATAGTACAATTAAAAACATAATCAAAGTCATAAACATGCTGCAAAACAAAATCATAAACATGCTGCAAACTGTCATCAACACGACTACACCTGAACTGAATTTCACAAACGCACTGCAAACAGAGAAAACACTTTCATCAACACGACTACACCTGAACTGCATTTCACCAAAGCACTGCAAACAGAGAAAACACTTTCATCAACATGACTACACCTGAACTGCATTTCACAAACGCACTGCAGAGAGGAGGATAGTAAGGTCTAGTGGACCAACAGAAGGAAGATGCCAACTCCAGTGATATAGAAGTGTGTTGCACTGTAATACCATTGCTAAATGTTGCTACAGTTGATATGGTTGATCACCTCCAAAGACTCAACAGCAACAGTTCAAGGCCAAAACCCATTAATGTGATTATACATTTTATCTGATGATGGTAAAGAGACGTGCTCTTTACAGCTATGATTCAAAGATGATCCCACAGAAGCTGACAAAACAGCAAGACAATGCCCAGAGCCTGAGGTGGAGTGTGCTAGGAATGCTGCACGCTACAGAGGAACAAAAGCTTACATTGGTGGAAAACAAAATTCTGCTGAAACAGAAAAGTACTGAGCATTAACATGGTGCATGAACCATCAGCAGGTGGTTTGGGTACTTTTGTAGCTAAAAGATATAGAGCGCATTTTCTTCTTCTTCGGTTCATTAAGGAGCTGATCTGATTAATGAAAATGTTCTGCTTTTACCCACTGAGCTGGTTATAGATTGGTATTGGCTGCTACTGGACTCTGGTCTGAGAGTACAAAGTCATCAGATGAGTTAAACTTGTTTAGTGTGTAGAATGGACTGTAACATTTCAGGTGGTTGCCGCTACAAATTTACTTGTATGTATGTATGTATTTACACAATAATGGCAGTTTAGACTGCTATACAGGCCACCACAGAAATGCGAGGGCTACATAGAAATTTGAAGGCTGCCACCGCATCACGTATGATATGTGAGAATAAAAGTCCCCCTTTGTGGTCAATATGTGTGACTCGTGCTATCTGCATAGGCATGAAGGTATAAATAATGCCCATAAATTATGCTAAGAATGTAATCAGTGTCTGAAATATGAAGAATTCACAACAGGAAATAGACAAGTAATGTTTTTAACTGAAAAGTTTATGTCTAATAATATGTATGACTACCTGTAATATTTTATGTTACTTTACACTCAAACTGCATTCACAGATTTGCTTTAACATGTTAAATATCACATTTCTTTCATCTTTATGGAGCTGCTTTGTGCTCAGGGACTCAGTGATGCTGGAACAGGTAAGGGTCTTCCCCAAACTGCTGACACAAAGCTGGAAGCATATAATTGTCTAGAATGTCTTTGTGCTGTAGCATCAACATCACGCTTCACTGGAACTGAGGGGCCCAAACCCTGGACCAAACTTTGTCAGTGAAACTTTGTCAGACAAACAGTTGACACTATTCCAGTAGGTAATGTTCTCCTGACATCAGCCAATCCAGATTCACCCATCAGACTGCCAGATAGCGAAAAGTTCTTCCCTCCACAGAATACATTTCCACTGCTCCAGAGTCCAGTGTGGTGCTTTACACCACTGCAGCTGATGCTTGGCACTAAACATAGTGATCTTAGACTTGTGTTTAGCTGCTCAACCATCGAGACCCATTACATGATGCTCCCAGTGCACAATTCTTGTGCTGATGTTGCTTCCAGAGGCAGCTTGGAACTCATTCTACTGTCAATGTTTATCCATGGACTGACTCTTGACTGACTATTGGTGTTATATGCCTGTTAGCAATGGGTGCGGCTGAACCACTTGAACTCAATAATTAGGGGGGGTGGCCACATACTTTTGGCACATAGTGTATGAACACTAATATAATACTTGGGGGAGATTTTAAGGCAATGTGTAGTGAAAACAATAATGGGATTTTTTAGGTTACAAACTAATCTTTACAACCCACAGACTTTGATGTTCGCATGGTGACTGTGCAGTCTTGTAGTGATTTTTGGCTGATCTGGATGGTTCTAACCTACAATGTAGAAAAAGTTAGTACTGAGCTGCCTGCAGTTCGTACAGATCATACATCTATCTTTATATCAATTAATGCAGTTGATGAAGAGGATGGCATCAGATTTTGTAGGACTTACTGGATGTTAAGCAACTTAATTAAGACTTCAAACATAAGGATTCTGATATTATCAAAAAACATTTAGACAGGCTTGTAGCTGTAAATAATTTAGGTTATATTGGGAACTAACAAAATGCGAGATGTTTGGCTATTAGAATGAATAAAATGATTGAAGGGGGAGAAAAAGGCAAGAGAGGAATTTATTATTAAAGGAATTATTACTCTAGGCGATGAACCAAATGTAACCGAAGAAGTTCTTCAGTATATGATGGAATTACAGGGGTGTTTAGACAGAATTTATGAGGTAAAGGCTAAGGGTATCAGATCAAAATGTGGTGGAATAATACAGATGGCTTAGAAAGACAAAACAGTGATTGATTAATCTGTGCAACAGTGTAGTTACAAATGATTTAATGAATATTTCAAAAAATTTAATCACTGATTATCACTCTGTATTATAGCAATGGCATAAACAAGTGCCACTGGATTCAGTCTCAAATAATCTGGACAGTGGTTGTTTTGATAATGACGATTTGAGCAATATATGTCATACGAATCTTAGCATCATAGAGATTATTATCAACATCAATAAAGTTATGAGTGATAACGATGGACTTTCCACTGAATTATATACAGTTTTCCAGGATATTATCAGTTTATTTATTCTCTCAGTATTTGTTGAAGTTAAAAGCAAAGTTATTTAATCTAGTTTCATTTAAAACAAGCAGTATTGAATCAGTTTCGAGGATCTCATGCAGCTCAGCATGTAAAGCAGGCAACTGAGGGGATGTTGGATACGTGAAGAATAGACAAGCACCATGTGACACTCAATATCAAAGAACTCAGAATGAGATTAGGAGCAAAAACTGGATCAACACATCCCTACTTAAAATGAACTTGTTTTTGGACATATCAGCTGTATTACTACATTCTCATAGAAACAGTCTATTAAAAAATAAAAAGTATATAAATAATTGATTTACTTTTGGTACTAGGTAAATATCACGTTCATGAAACAAAGTGGGGTAACTTAAATGCTTTCAGAACAGCCCTAATTAAATACATTGTCTGTATTAAGATTTCTAAGGAAAAAGAAAGCATTCAAATTACCGCACTTTGTAACTTGAAAGTGGGGTAACTTAAATGCTTTCAGAACAGCCCTAATTAAATATATTGTCTGTATTATATAATAAAGACTGTGTGCTTGATGAATTTGTAATTATCTTTGTGTGATACCTTCTGATTTCTTATGTGGATGAATGTATGTCTTTAAAAATACTAGTAATTCATTACTAATTACATTTAATTACAAAAGACTAATGACTTTTCTCAAACTGTGCAAAATTACAGTAACACTTTACTGTAGGATTCTGTCCATACAGCTACATGACACCTAGTGATGGCAAACTGAAGCTTTCTGAACTGAAGCTTTCCTCCGAACTGTGTTGTGAAGAGGTTCATTACTGGAACCACACAGTGCACATTAGTGGCATCTGGTGGCCAAAACCACAAAGTGCTTCGTGTATCTGGTGTACAACGGATGTTGTTGTTTTGTGTTCCATCGCATTAAAAACATGACATTTGTTTTTTCAATAAAACAACTGATAAAATGAAATTGTTTGTTGCGCATGTTTTCCAAATCTTATTGTTGATGGGTACAAATATCCAGGGCTGAGCAGAATGCTTAGAAAAAGTAGTGATGGCTGAATTATGGACTGTATTCTATTACAATGCATTAAACAATAATGTATTCAGAATAAATACAGTGATTTAACCGTTATTTTAATGCCATCAATTTTTATTATTTTTTATAATAGTTTTCTTATTAAATATTCTACCTTATTTGATGGTAAACGTTCAGTGCTTCCAAACTACTGAACACCCTCTTTTTCTTACTGGTTCCATTCTACTCCCTATTTCTCTCTCTCTCTCTCTCTCTCTCTCTCTCTCTCTCTCCTTGAACGACCCTCGAAGCACATGCAAAGATTTGCTACTTTTGAATCACTTCCTGAAGCAGTCACGTGGTTGTGTGCTGAAACGGATCTTTAAACGTCAGTGGTCACATGATCATTGTAGAACGAATCAAGCATCGACACAGTGGTTTGAAATGACCGGTGTCGTTTTTGTGATACATGCCTAAAAGCATAAGATTGTCACGACAACTGACATAACCCTACATAAATGTTTATCTGGTTATTCCAAAAGGCATCAGATAATTGGAATCCAACAGAGAGACCTTGCCTATATATATACATATATATATATATATATATATATATATATATATATATATATATGTATATATATATATATATCGGCATTATATCGTGCCCCTCAGTAGAACAAATCGCTAATCCAAGTCTTTTATTCCTTCTGCTATCAAGCTACTAAATGCGGATAACAGTCTTTTTAAATGATGGTTATAGCTATTCGTTGTGTCCTTGCATCAACTCCTTATTCATCTTTATATGTGGATTTGTTGTCTCTGACATACATTACTGTTTTATATATAAGTAGACATATATGTACAGTTGTGTGTATGGAAGGGGAAAGCTGCAAATGAATTGCCCTCTTTGGGATTAATACAATACTCTGAATCTGAATCTGAATCATTCGTTCTAAAGGTTACATTTGCCAATTTTGATTAAAATTAGCTAAAGTAGCCTTTATGACAGATAACACCTGTTGGAATAATAATTTGTAAACATTTATGTAGGGTTATGTCAGTTGTCATTACAAGCTAGCGTAGGTGTCATGTAGCCTTATGAACCGCACCCTACAGTAAAGGGTTACCAAAATGACAGTAGAATTTACCGGTCTGGTTTCTGGTTTTCCTAGTTAGTTTGCTAAAGCCTGTGCCAGAGTTTAGATCTGTGAGCCATTGTCTCTTTTTCATTTGGTTTGGTTGGTTTCACACTGCAACAGCTGAAGTGCACCAAATTACACATGTTTGTTTATCCATCAGAAATTTTGCAAAGACATAAGTGTGCTGTTACTCTCACATTCACCAAAATCAACACTCTAGTTCGCTATTATTTTACTTCACTATTATTATAAGGGAATAAAGGTTAATTCAGTCAGATTTTTGGCTGAGCAATTTTTGGCGAACAATGCCTTCATTGTTTGGTACAAACCCAAGTGTGGGCGCAATGTTAAAGTTCTCCTAGTTACTCTTTGAAACCTACACAAATCTCTCCCAACTGTAAAATGCAACGGATTTTTATTTCAGTACTTTATTTAGAAACAGCCAATCAATGGCACTGTTAGAAAACCTAGAAACTAGCTTGCAGAATCAGTTCAGAACCAGCTGCCTTCAAACACATTTTGCTCACCGTACAGCTGTAGCAGGTAATCAGTGTTCTTAAGTGGGTTTAGAGCTGTGTTACAGTAAAACGTGGACCTGCTGGGGGTACTGGGGGCTGATTTAAGAACCATGGATCTACACGCTAATGGCTGTGTGGTTCAAATCAGCATTTTAAGCAGTCTAACAGTGGATACACCACCTGAAGATTTCACACCAGCCACGAGAAACTCTCACTCCAATCACCCCTAAGATAGTCGGCAACCCTGATAATAATGAGTATGAAATTATAGATTAATTATGGCTGCAAGATCCATAATTAAGGATATCATTCTTAAAGCAATCAATAGATTGTTCATTTGGATAAGTTCATTTAGGAACTTGATTAGTGTGAATTCATGTAATTGTTCTGTATACTGTATTTTGCTGTATTTACTCATCTGTATTTTATGTAAGGTCAATAAAAGGTTAAACTCATAATATGTCCTGCATGAATTACTTACTGTAATTAAAAAAAGCAGATCTGTGGAAATAAAGAAAGTACAACAATAACAAGTGTCCAAACACTCACTCAGTTTGGTGTCAGTAGTGCTGTATTGCAAATACATCTTCAGCCAGTGCTCACAGTCACATCTCTGATCAACAGGTCTGCCATTCCACTTCTCCTCCAACGCTTTAGCCTGACTGACTGAGGCTGACCATTTCCTCGAGGTCCAGTTATACGAGATTAAACTCTGTCCATCATAGGCGTATTCATGAGTGCAATTTAAAACTGAAACTGAGCCGTCAGAATGTTTTTCACCCTCACAGCCGATTCTCCACTGAAGAGTGTGATTTTCTGAAATATAAATGAAGAACATAGACAGTCATAATTCACTGAACATCATCAAACACACTGACTTTTTATGCTTTATGAGGACGGTAAAATGTTTTAGGAAGGTATGTACATTAAATCACACTTTGTGAGTGCGGTCGGCTCTTGTGTGGCTTTATTGTTAACTAGGCTAACTACTCTAGCTGATGTTGGCTCCTTACAGAAACAGTGAAAATACATTTCTCTGACTGACTAACATTTTGGTGCATCGTCCACTGAGAAAGAAAAGACCTCATGGAGAAGATAAGAAGTTCATTTCAGCATGCAGTGTCCCGGTTAGCTGAAGCGTTAGCATTAGCTCATCTGAAGAGGCAGCCTACATTACACATCTAATACAAAATCTAAGCTGTGCTTAAAACAGTGGCTTATTTATTATATAGAACACTATTTTGGGATTCTGCCTTTTAGTGGTATCTGAAAACATAGTGCTGAAGATCCAGTGCACTCAAACAATCCCACAATGCACCACAAAAAGTACTGTACAATTGATGTAGTCTAGTGGATAGTGGATACCCATAATGCACTGCATTGTTTGTAAATAATAAGCAAACTTGTACAACATTAGACTCCAAAATTGTTTCCAACCATCACAAATTCACTTCCCTACAATAGTGTTTTATATAGTGATCCAGATTGTCTAATGTAGGCTGTAGTGATTAGAGGACCATTTCAGACACGACACGACTGATGTCCCTCAGCTATTTTTGAACAGTGAAACATGTTTTCCTCTGTATGCTGCTATATGTTGGGGTTATTTTAAATTTTAGTGTGCTGTCACCTATGAAAACTAACTCTTTTCATTTTGAACAGAATTAGTCAGATTCCACATTCCTGGTCAGACAGGATTCCTCTGAAGGTTCATGTCCAAGAAAAAACAGAGCTGACTTGTTAAAGTGTGTCCTGAACATGACATTGAACAGAATCATTTAAATGATCATCTAAGCAGAATATAATTGTACATCAAACGTTCTCCTCTGCATGAGGAAATTGAAATAAATTATAAAATGAAAAGAATGCTCTCACCTGACTCATCGTGTCTGAAGGCCTTCATCTGTATGTTGAGGATCTTGTTTAACTGTTGTCCATTGTACTTCAGTTTATCAGTGCCTGCTGTCCACTCACTCTCCTTTATCTCCTTCATCCAGTCCTGTTTAGGAGTCCTGACCCCGTCTGTACTGCTGTAGGAGTCAATCTGTCTGTCATCCAGCAGAGTCACTGCACTGAACTCATAGACTCTGTCTGAAGAGTTTTTAGACCGGACAGTGTAGAGATAATACAGAGAGTGTTCATCTGTGGAGAAACAGAGAAATGAACAGTCTGGATAGAGTACAGGGAACACAGAGAGTGTTTATCTGTGAAGACACAGAGAAATGAACAGTCTGGATAGAGTACAGGGAACACAGAGAGTGTTTATCTGTGAAGACACAGAGAAATGAACAGTCTGGATAGAGTACAGGTAACACAGAGCGTTTATCTGTGGAGACACAGAGAAATGAACAGTCTGGATAGAGTACAGGTAACACAGAGAGCGTTTATCTGTGAAGACACAGAGAAATGAACAGTCTGGACAGAGTACAGGTACCACAGCCAGTGTTTATCTGTGAAGACACAGAGAAATGAACAGTCTGGACAGAGTACAGGTAACACAGACAGTGTTTATCTGTGAAGACACAGAGAAATGAACAGTCTGGATAGAGTACAGGTAACACAGACAGTGTTTATCTGTGAAGACACAGAGAAATGAACAGTCTGGATAGAGTACAGGTAACACAGAGAGTGTTTATCTGTGAAGACACAGAGAAATGAACAGTCTGGATAGAGTACAGGGAACACAGAGAGCGTTTATCTGTGAAGACACAGAGAAATGAACAGTCTGGATAGAGTACAGGTAACACAGAGCGTTTATCTGTGGAGACACAGAGAAATGAACAGTCTGGATAGAGTACAGGTAACACAGAGAGCGTTTATCTGTGGACAAACAGAGAAATGAACAGTCTGGATAGAGTACAGGTAACACAGAGAGCGTTTATCTGTGAAGACACAGAGAAATGAACAGTCTGGATAGAGTACAGGGAACACAGAGAGCGTTTATCTGTGAAGACACAGAGAAATGAACAGTCTGGATAGAGTACAGGTAACACAGACAGTGTTTATCTGTGAAGACACAGAGAAATGAACAGTCTGGATAGAGTACAGGGAACACAGAGAGCGTTTATCTGTGAAGACACAGAGAAATGAACAGTCTGGATAGAGTACAGGTAACACAGAGCGTTTATCTGTGGAGACACAGAGAAATGAACAGTCTGGATAGAGTACAGGTAACACAGAGCGTTTATCTGTGAAGACACAGAGAAATGAACAGTCTGGATAGAGTACAGGTAACACAGAGAGCGTTTATCTGTGGACAAACAGAGAAATGAACAGTCTGGATAGAGTACAGGGAACACAGAGAGCGTTTATCTGTGAAGACACAGAGAAATGAACAGTCTGGATAGAGTACAGGGAACACAGAGAGCGTTTATCTGTGAAGACACAGAGAAATGAACAGTCTGGATAGAGTACAGGGAACACAGAGAGCGTTTATCTGTGAAGACACAGAGAAATGAACAGTCTGGATAGAGTACAGGTAACACAGACAGTGTTTATCTGTGAAGACACAGAGAAATGAACAGTCTGGATAGAGTACAGGTAACACAGACAGTGTTTATCTGTGAAGACACAGAGAAATGAACAGTCTGGATAGAGTACAGGTAACACAGAGAGCGTTTATCTGTGAAGACACAGAGAAATGAACAGTCTGGACAGAGTACAGGTAACACAGACAGTGTTTATCTGTGAAGACACAGAGAAATGAACAGTCTGGATAGAGTACAGGGAACACAGAGAGCGTTTATCTGTGAAGACACAGAGAAATGAACAGTCTGGATAGAGTACAGGTAACACAGACAGTGTTTATCTGTGAAGACACAGAGAAATGAACAGTCTGGATAGAGTACAGGTAACACAGAGAGCGTGTATCCTGTTAGTGTTATGTGAGGAGGTGGGTAATGTGGTTAATACCGGCGTTTCTCATTGAACACTTCTGAAAAACTCATAGAAACCATTAAGTGTTTCTGTTGGTTCCTGATGCTTTTGTAATGTGTTTTGGCTTTTTAATGGGATGATATCACAGTGTAAAGGATCCTAATGGTTTAACAGATGACCAATAGCCGATTCTAAATGCATTTGATGGTTTCCTAATGGGATCTAAAGCTGTTCTACAGGAAACCAGTGGTCTCTATTGGAAACAATTGAGTCTATTCCGATTATAAAGCAAAACTGTTAGGTTTTAATCCTAATGGTTTTTAATGGTCCTTTTCAGGATTCCGGAGCCTTTTACCTTCTGAAACTGACGCTGTGTTATCCTGAGAAAACTGAGCTTCTTAATTACTGAGACACTCAAAGAAGCTCTTATTTGTGCTCTCTGACGAAGCTGAAGTCCAATTCTTCTTTGAACTTTTTCGTTCCACCTTAAATGGAGCAGCAGTTATTATAACGCTGAGGTGCCAGACTGCAACCGTGGCACCATTTAAGGTGGAACGGCAGAGTTCCAACAGGAAGCTGAATTGAGCTGGTTGTTCTCCGGGTCTAAAATCAGGCTGGTGTGTAAAGGTACTGTCCGGTCTCACCTGCACAGCTCAGAGTCTGACCTTATGGGTGGAGTCGACTTTTCCCTGAACTCCCAGTTTATGATGAGGATAATGCAGCTCTGCGTTCACACAGTGAGGGAAGTGGTCAGGGTAGCGAGGTCACGGCTAAGATGGGTTTAACGTGTTTTCTGCTGTTTTGGTGGTGAAGGTGGGGTGTAAACCGAGTAGCCGCTCCTGTCCGTCTCATTTAGACCGAGATTCATTATCACTCATGAATCGTCCTGAGATAAACTGGCATTACTCATTTCCCATGGAAGACCACTCCCTTCCCGGTGGGGCACAAGAAAATGAGCTTTCAGAGATTTGAGGAGGTCTCTGTGAGCAGGAGGAGGAGCGAAAGGGGAACATCCGCTGAATGTCCAGTAACGGGCCGGACTTTACTCAGGCGCTCTGAATGTGCTGCAGTGCTGGATAAATCAGTGAATAAGGATCTTTTCACATCATACAATAGAGAATTATCAATAACGTCTTACTGTGAACTGTAGTTCACTGTCCGAGCTCCGTCCAGCAGAGTTTAGAACAGAACAGAATAGAATAGAATAGAACAGAACAGAACAGAACAGAATAGAACAGAACAGAATAGAATAGAACAGAACGGGATAGAACGGAACAGAATAGAATAGAATAGAACAGAATAGAACAGAACAGAACAGAATAGAACAGAACGGAATAGAACGGAACGGAACAGAATGGAACAGAACGGAACAGACCGGAACAGACCGGAACAGAACGGAATAGAACAGAACAGAATGGAACAGAACGGAACGGAATAGAACGGAACGGAGTAGAACGGAACGGAACAGAATAGAACAGAACAGAACAGAACAGAACAGGAACATTTCCACTTCCGTTCACAGTGAAAAGCTCAGTGAAAGTCAGGAAAGTTTTTGTTCCCTCTGAAATTAAAGACTCACCTCCGGGTCCGAGAGTGGAGACGAACAGTCCGCACAGTCAGACCGCACAGACCGTCCTCCCCGCCCCCTCCATCACTTTCTACCATCCAGTCCGAGGAAACGTCACTGTGGACGACTTTCCACTGAGAAAGTCTGCTTTTATCTTCCGCTAGATCAGCTCTGATCCTGAACTGATCCTGAACTGCTCACTATCATTATCACTATCACTATCTCACTATCAGCTGCTCTCTGAGACACAGCGCCACGACAGAGCACCGAAACTCAGTGCTGTTGCAGAGAACAACAAATCCAGCTTTTCCGCTCCTGATCCGCTACGGTTCAGTGGGAAAGGTCTTACCGCGCATGCGCATAAAGTCGAGCGCTGGAACTTGTTGTTGAAGCGTTTTGTCGTGTTTTGAATGTAATTCCAGCTTTACTTCAGGAATGATGTACAGACTGAGCTGAACATCACTGCTCAGCCCCGATCAGGCGATTCGGACCATCATAGTATCATCAGTTTACTTTCACTGCTGGAGGTTTTTCTGATGGGGTAGTTTTCACAAATCAGGCAACAACCAACACTGCATGACTGTTGGTGGTGTGTATTACATCATGTTCTGAAGTTAAAACCACACATTTTCAGCTTTTTAGTGTAAAAGCTTTTTAGTCAATGACCGACGAATAATTCCAGCCTGCTTTCATCTCCTTACATGTGTATTACTGTGGCAACGTGGGAGAAATATCCAGTTTGGTGTGCATGGTACTGGAAATAAACCAGTATAAAACAATAAAACATCACAAAATCCGTTTTCACAAATGAAGTAATATGTCCAAGTTAATTATAATCAATAAATATAGGTTATTGATAATGTTTGTGTATGAATTTAAACTCCAAAGTCTCGTTGCTGAGGAGTCAGAGCCGTATGGAGCAATCAAACATATCGAACGCTGCTCCGTTTAAGGTGGAACGGGGAATTAGAATGAGAAAGTAAGTTCAGTTAACATACAGATTTCACTGAACTGAGGATCTGACAGAGATGATCTGGCTCAGAATCGTCTGAAGGAAATTTACTTTATTTTATAAGCAGATTTAGGCTTCTCTGTTTCCACATAACCAACTCAAAGGCCATTCTCTTTACGCTGATAAAACACTTTCTATCATCTTTAATTGTATTATATTATCTTAGATTTCGCTGTTGTGGGAAGAAAACCTCGTATCTCCAAAATGGTGACTTTACAGGAGGAGGAAAAAACATACTGTACTTTTAATGTAAGTCAATGGAACCAGACTTTTTACCAAGTCATTCATACTTCAGATCAGCTTCAGCTCTGCTCCCCCGTTCACTGTGAGCAGACGAGGAGCGAACAGGTGTGCAGATCACAGCCGATTGAGGTCCACAGGGAACACACAGTAAAATCATTCTTCGTTTTTTACTAAAGAAAATGATATATATATATATATATATATATACAGATATCACAACAAGAACAGAAGAACCTTTTTTGGTGCCATATAGAACCACATACAGTACATTCTCCATCAGTCTGAAGAACCATTTCATCATGCGATGCGTGTAATGGTGGAACATGTGGTGTATATATGGTTCTTCATGGGTCCTGTAGTAAAGAAAATAGTTCTATATAGAACCGTGAACACTCAAAGAACCCTTTGCATAATTCAAGGGTTCTTTGCATCATGAAAGGGTTCTGCTTTTGTTGCAATGTCAAGCTTGTGACAACAGAAGAACGCTTTTTGGTGCTGTGTAGAACCATTTTTAAAAGGTTCTCTATAGAACCATGTGCAACACATTCTTCATCGATCTGAAGAACCTTTTTCATGATGTGAAGAACCCTTTAATCATGCAAAGGGTTCTTTGAATGTTCATGGTGAACCATTGCCTTTGCTAAACAACCCTCGAAGAACCATCTTTTTTAAGAGTGTAGCACCAAAAAATGGTTCTTCTATTGTTACAAGATTGACATCCTAACAATAGAAGAACCCTTTTTGGTGGTATTAAGAACCCTTCTCAAAAAGGTGCTATGTAGAACCACATGCAACTCAATTTCTAACAATCTGAAGAAACTTTCACGATGCAAAGAACTATTTAAACATGCAAAGGGTTCTTTGAGTGTTCATGGTTCTATAAAGAATGATTTTCTTTACTAAAGAACCCTTGAAGAACCATCTTTTTTAAGAATGTGTGCAGTTGTTTTAACTTTTTATCCACGTTTTATATCAGAAATTCAATGAAAAATAATGAAACACTGTAAATAAAATATGAGTAGATACAGGCAGAACTAAACAAACTGTAAAATATCAAATGTAAATAAATCATCCTCTAACACTCAAATTCAACTCTGCCTGTAGGAAATACACTCCAGCACTGCGGTCACTAATAGGCGGACTGCGGTCCGAGTCCGGACCCAGGCGCTGTCCTGTGCGGACCTGGGCCTATAACTATGGAGAATTACTTAATTTCGATGGGGTGGTCCTATTTTAATCGGCATAGCTTTTCTAGCCTTTAAGGTAGCTTTAGTGGCCGGAAACTCACAGACCAATCGCATGCACTGTAAATATCACAGGTGAGGAGGGACTCCAGTGAGTGATGCACACACAGGGGAGGGACGAGGCGAGGAACAGCAGTCGGAGAAGAAAGTGAGTCAGAGGGAAGTTATTTCACAGAAAACTGACAATAAATGTTGTTGAAATATGACTGAATTGTACTTTATTTGATTTGACATTCAGTTGTTGTATAAGATGTTGATATACCTACTAGGCTACTTCAGTAAACAGTATATGGCACTGGATCATGATGCAGGTTAGACACTATGATGTTCTGGACCTTCGCTTGAGGAAATTCTAATTAAAATTTTAATTAAAGACCCCTGCTCTAGCATTAATTAATTAATATTAAATCATTTCTGCATATAAGCTAAAATATATTTATGTGTTAAATATTCATATTTAATTCTTACACATTAAATGTAAAATTGTATTTTTACATGTGAGAAGTGAACATTTAGGGGCAACATCTTTATATAAGCCTCATAGGCTACTGGGGGCGTTTGAAGGGAATTTGTTTACCATATATAGACATTTGGGGGCGTTTCTTTATGTAAATGAGCACAAGCAGATCTTATTTACATGTCGGATTTATTATCATAGTGTTTAAATTGGCATTTATGAAGTGTGTGTAGGTACAGCTTAACGCAGTGAAGAATAATTCCTGCTTACGGTTCTTGCAGACGTGTAGAACATGTTCTAACCAAATACTGACAAATGGTACAAACACTAAAGACTATCTAAACTCAGCCCACTAACAGAGCAAGAGCGCCATACAGGTGAGGACGGGAACCAGTAACCATGACAACCACACATAACAGCAGTTCAGTATTCCACAGAGGGTGCCCTCTGGTGGTCATTCACGGGTCCTGCAGCCCAGTGGGCAGTCATGGACACGACACTAATGAACATTCATTGATTCTTGGAAATAATGTCAGTGTTTAAGGAGTTTATCACTTTGCTTCACTACAGACTGTACACAATGAAGCACCTCCTACACAATATAATACACCTGGTAAACCAGCAACGTCTGCTGAATAATTATGATTTTATAAATTTAAAAATTTGATTAGCTTTTGAGTGCATATTGGTCCAAAAACACTGTACATAATCAAGCTCCCTACAGCATAATCAGAATCAGAATCAGAATCAGAACCTTTATTCACCAAGAAGCAGGTGTACAAGGAATTTTGTCTTGGTGCATCAACATTAAAATTGAATCCAATAGAATAAATATAGAAAAAGGTGTATTATATATAAACATGAAATAGAGACATAAAATAGATGGCTTACAAACAATCTCCAAGTAAAAGGGTGTGAAGTGTGAGATGAGTACAGATACAGTCAGGTGCTGCAGTACTGAGGTACATACAGTACAGCTAAGAGAACTGAGCAGCAAAGATAAATATAAACACATTCTCCAGAATGTCAATCACAGTTTTCCCAGTGTTGATGGGTTAGGGGGGTGGACTAGGGAGAAGAAGATGGAGGGTAAAAGAGAAGAAGGCTGCGGGAAAAAGAGAGGAGATGGCAGCAAGAAAGAAATAGAGTCAGACTCAGCAATAGTGTTTCCAAACTCATGTCTTTGTATTAGGGTTTAGAGGAAGACTGTGGATGATATCATTTATAATTATGACTTATAATTGTTTTGAGCGCTGACGAAGCCAGAACTAACAAACTGTGTGGCGCCGGTCTTTATGTGCTTGCAGACTGCGTGCATGCAAACCGTAGCTCACGTATGTGGACTTAAAACGGCTGATTCTCCAACCCAGAAGCAAGGTCAGATAGACCCCACGGTGACCAGAAAGCTGTGTGGGTCCTCTGACAAAAAAATTCTCCACACAAGCCCCTGAGAGTTTTAGGAATAAATGGTCTAAAACACCGGACTTAATGTAGCCTACAACTGCTAATTCACCCTTTAACCCTGGAGATCAGCGCAGACTGCTGGTCACCATAGCAACACAGACAACAGTCTCACCTAGCTAGTAGCTAACGAAACGGCAAAGAGAGAGATTTAAGAAGAACATCGATAATTTGGAGACAAATGGACTTATTTACATTTATAATCACTCCAGCTGGTTTCGTTTAATCTGCAATGAGAAACTGACAAACACTAAAAAGTCATGAAGCTGAAGTCGCTTCTCATTCGCCAGCTTCTTTTCCAAATTCTCCCTTTCCATCATAAATAGACCATTTAAGGTGGAACGGGAGAATTCGAACAGGCTTACAGCCTTGTAAAAACTGGAACATTGAGACATTTTACAAGAAACTATTCTACTTTTGCTGAAAAGTTTCCTGCCAAGTTTTACAGCCAAGATGGTAAGATGGACATTGTGGCTCCCAGGGTGGTTTGATTTTTACTGAAAGAACAAAATGGCTCTTCTTAACATTTGGGTTGCTGACCTCTGCTCAAAGCTATATTATAAGTAAAGCACAGCAAAACATCTGTGAAGGAATGAAATTTCATTCACTTTTTTTAAACACTGCCCCTCAGGGCCTCTGTAAAACACCAACAACAGTGAGACGGGTGAAGGGTGCCAGAAGGATAACGTGAAAAAAAAGGCTAACATTTAGCGTGTTACATCACTTTTGCCCAGCAGGGGGCAGCTTTTTTATCTTTCTCTCGCCCTTCAGGCACCAGGTGAAAATAAATTCTCAGAGGAGCTAAATGCTATGAATTAGCGTGATGTTCCAGCTTCAGCCAGGAGTGAGAACTCAGCAGACTGGCACTGCAGAGGAGACCACAGCAGTAACGTTAGCCATCATA